TCTTCATAATGATTAAAGACGAAGAAGAAAATTAAAATTTTGTTTCATAAACTTCTCTATTATTCAATAATGGAAATACATTTATTGGAAAAGGCTAACTGAAATTTTATTTTTCAAATTTATTAACAGATTGCGATCTAACTTACAAAATTGATGTATTAACAGGGAAGTTTGATTGTGATGCAGATTTCTCTATTGAAATATTTGGATTCAAACAAAAATTAATGTCAAAATACATATTAGGGTAAGGTTTTCCTCTAAGTTTTAATTTATAAAAGGAAAATGATTTTTTAGAAATTAACTTAAATTACTTTTTACATAAAATAACAGGAAGTATTGAATTAAATTTGTTTAAAGATATTACTAAATGGATATATATAAATAAATTGGGTTTTGAATTTGGTTTTGATCTTACATATTTTACTCTTGGCATTTAATGTAATTTTATTGTATCTTTTAAATTTGAAAACAGCGAAAAGGAATATAATTACCGTCAGCCAGTTGAATGGAGTTGGTAGGCAATTATGGGTATATTAAATAATTGCAATGGTTTAAAATATTATCTAATTAAATTATTTAAAAATATAGATTTAAGTTTTGACCTCTTTAGAATAAAATGGTTTTTAGGATTGAAAATAAAGCTTGATGATTATTATACAAAATAATAGATATATAATCGCAAAACAGAACTTTAGGCTTTGTTTAAAAGTAGTTTTGATGTCGATATTTCTGATGAACTAAATAAAATTGAAAAAGAAGTAGATTATTATGAGCAATTAATAAGAGAAGCAGAAGAAAAAGAACGTGAAAAAATACAACAAGAAAATAACAAAAAGGATTAATAAGATAATAGTAATGAATCTAAAAATTAAACAGTTTAACAAAATCAAGAATAAACATAGAAACTATCATAAAGTAAAAACAATGAAAAAAAGGAAAAAGATAAAGAAAAAGTTTATATCGATGAATAAACAAATAATGATAAGATGGGATTAAAAAGATCATCATCACCCAATAATACTGACAGATAATCAACATCATAATCAAATTCTAATAAATAATAATCGACATAATCATCAAATGAAAATAATAAATAATAGTCATCATCATCAAATTATAATTGTGGATAAGAAACAGAAAAATCATCAAATTAAAATAATAAATAATCATCATAATAATCATAATCATCAAATTCTAATAATGAATAATCAAAATCATCACTAAACTAAAATAATCAATCTTCGACATCAAATTCTAATAATGGATAATCAAAAGTATCATGGAATTAAAATAATTTATAATAAAAATCCTCATCAAATTCTAACATTGAATAATCATCATAATATTCTAATAATTAATAATAATAAACAGTAAAATCATCAAATTCTAATAATATTTAATCAACATCATCATCAAATTCTAACAATAGATAACCAACATCATCATAAAATACTAATAATTAATAATAATAAACAGTAAAAACATCAAGTTCTAACAATATTTAATCATCATCATCATAAAATACTAATAATTAATAATAATAAACAGTAAAAACATCAAGTTCTAACAATATTTAATCATCATCATCATAAAATACTAATAATTAATAATAATAAACAGTAAAAACATCAAGTTCTAACAATATTTAATCATCATCATCATAAAATACTAATAATTAATAATAATAAACAGTAAAAACATCAAGTTCTAACAATATTTAATCATCATCATCATAAAATACTAATAATTAATAATAATAAACAGTAAAAACATCAAGTTCTAACAATATTTAATCATCATCATCATAAAATACTAATAATTAATAATAATAAACAGTAAAAACATCAAGTTCTAACAATATTTAATCATCATCATCATAAAATACTAATAATTAATAATAATAAACAGTAAAAACATCAAGTTCTAACAATATTTAATCATCATCATCATAAAATACTAATAATTAATAATAATAAACAGTAAAAACATCAAGTTCTAACAATATTTAATCATCATCATCATAAAATACTAATAATTAATAATAATAAACAGTAAAAACATCAAGTTCTAACAATATTTAATCATCATCATCATAAAATACTAATAATTAATAATAATAAACAGTAAAAACATCAAGTTCTAACAATATTTAATCATCATCATCATAAAATACTAATAATTAATAATAATAAACAGTAAAAACATCAAGTTCTAACAATATTTAATCATCATCATCATAAAATACTAATAATTAATAATAATAAACAGTAAAAACATCAAGTTCTAACAATATTTAATCATCATCATCATAAAATACTAATAATTAATAATAATAAACAGTAAAAACATCAAGTTCTAACAATATTTAATCATCATCATCATAAAATACTAATAATTAATAATAATAAACAGTAAAAACATCAAGTTCTAACAATATTTAATCATCATCATCATAAAATACTAATAATTAATAATAATAAACAGTAAAAACATCAAGTTCTAACAATATTTAATCATCATCATCATAAAATACTAATAATTAATAATAATAAACAGTAAAAACATCAAGTTCTAACAATATTTAATCATCATCATCATAAAATACTAATAATTAATAATAATAAACAGTAAAAACATCAAGTTCTAACAATATTTAATCATCATCATCATAAAATACTAATAATTAATAATAATAAACAGTAAAAACATCAAGTTCTAACAATATTTAATCATCATCATCATAAAATACTAATAATTAATAATAATAAACAGTAAAAACATCAAGTTCTAACAATATTTAATCATCATCATCATAAAATACTAATAATTAATAATAATAAACAGTAAAAACATCAAGTTCTAACAATATTTAATCATCATCATCATAAAATACTAATAATTAATAATAATAAACAGTAAAAACATCAAGTTCTAACAATATTTAATCATCATCATCATAAAATACTAATAATTAATAATAATAAACAGTAAAAACATCAAGTTCTAACAATATTTAATCATCATCATCATAAAATACTAATAATTAATAATAATAAACAGTAAAAACATCAAGTTCTAACAATATTTAATCATCATCATCATAAAATACTAATAATTAATAATAATAAACAGTAAAAACATCAAGTTCTAACAATATTTAATCATCATCATCATAAAATACTAATAATTAATAATAATAAACAGTAAAAACATCAAGTTCTAACAATATTTAATCATCATCATCATAAAATACTAATAATTAATAATAATAAACAGTAAAAACATCAAGTTCTAACAATATTTAATCATCATCATCATAAAATACTAATAATTAATAATAATAAACAGTAAAAACATCAAGTTCTAACAATATTTAATCATCATCATCATAAAATACTAATAATTAATAATAATAAACAGTAAAAACATCAAGTTCTAACAATATTTAATCATCATCATCATAAAATACTAATAATTAATAATAATAAACAGTAAAAACATCAAGTTCTAACAATATTTAATCATCATCATCATAAAATACTAATAATTAATAATAATAAACAGTAAAAACATCAAGTTCTAACAATATTTAATCATCATCATCATAAAATACTAATAATTAATAATAATAAACAGTAAAAACATCAAGTTCTAACAATATTTAATCATCATCATCATAAAATACTAATAATTAATAATAATAAACAGTAAAAACATCAAGTTCTAACAATATTTAATCATCATCATCATAAAATACTAATAATTAATAATAATAAACAGTAAAAACATCAAGTTCTAACAATATTTAATCATCATCATCATAAAATACTAATAATTAATAATAATAAACAGTAAAAACATCAAGTTCTAACAATATTTAATCATCATCATCATAAAATACTAATAANTACATTTTCTCTTATAAAAACCCCTTCCGAATAAGCTTAAATATCTTTTTATTCAGCTTTCATATAATCACTAATCATTTCTAAATGTATATCTCTTTTTGTTATCTACATTATTTAGTATAGAATACCATATTTTCTAAATTTAATTTAATTTATTATTAATCTATATCATTATTTTTGATTCTCCCATCTTCATTTTAATAATTATCTTTCACAATTAATTTTTCAGATTATTCTTTTTCTTTACAAATAACCTTTCCAACTTTTCTTTTAAATATCTATTGCTATTGATGATTTACTCAATGTAATTAGATAAATAGCATAATATCCACAAAAAAACTTTATTCTTAAAGAATAAAATTCTTAATATAATTTAGATTTTTTTATTTCTACAGGATTGCACACATGAATCAAAATTGATTTCTAATTATTATTGAATTTAGAATCTTCATTATTAATTTGCCATTACTCTGGATTAAGCAAACAAGTATTGATTTAGTCATTTGTTAATTCTAATTGGTTGATTTGTAACTAGGTTTCATAGAATTTCTAATTAATCTTGTCTATTATATCTTTATACTAAGTCTTTTTGCATCATTTATTTATATAGAATAATTAAATTAATCAAATTTTAGATATATAATAAAAATGAATTATACATATTTTTCAGTTTTAATATATTTAGTATAATGAATAAATTATTTAGTCAAAAACATAGATTTAATTTTATTTATATGACTTAGAATATGTAATTTAATCAACATTACTAAGTTTTCTAATCTAACTTAATAAGTAATCTTATGTAATATTGTCCTTCAATAAAAATTAGTGGATACAATAAGTATATGAAATTGAGAATGAAATAAATATAAACATCTTAATTTGTTAGTTTCTAATTTAATAAATCATTAAACAAATAATTTATGAATAAGTGTCATTTATATGATAATAAAGTATATTTCAATGAGAAATTCATTAGCAATCCTTTTAGTTATAGAAATGAAATGACATTAGAAGGAATAAAATAATTTTTTATTCAAATTGATAAAGAAGAATGGAAGTTCGAGACTTTATGTGAAATATATAACACATTAACTATTACTTAATCAATTATCTATTGTTCTAACAGGGAAAAGTGTAATTGGTTGGCAAATTAAATGATAGAAAATTAATTTACTGTAGTTTAAATGCATGAAAATATGAGTTAATAAGAAAGAGATAAAATAATGGCTGGCTTTAAATAAGGAAATTATAAAGTCTTAATTACTAGCGAAATCTTTGGGAGAAGTATCATTTATACAATTATCAAAAGGTATTGAAATTGAATTGATTTCCTTGATTATTAATTATGATTTACCATAATTAAAGGAATTATACATTTAGAGAATTGGAAGAACTAGTAAATTTGGAAGAAAGAGCATTTCCATTAATTTTTTAGTATAAGAAGATCTTAAAATGCTAAATGAAATTGAATAATATTATTAAACAAAAATTGAAGAGATGCCAATAAATTTTACAGATTTTTTATGAAATCATATTGAATTTATAACTCAGTTTCATTATTTTAAAATTATTCAATTAAATTCCACTAAAATTCTAAATTATTTATCCATTTACACTTTAATTTCATACTTCTAATTAGAAAATATCATATAAAAATTAAACCAATCTCTAACAATATTATTGATACATTATTTATATATCTAACTCTACTTTTAATTCTATTTATGATAACTTATTTTCTGCAATTAATGTAAATGTTTTATTTCCTTATTATTCTTCTTTAATATTTATTTTGTAACCAATTTCTGCAATAAATATCTTATAAACATTATTTGAGTAGATAATAAAACGATTATAACATATATATATTCATATTATTCAACTATAGTATGATAAAATTGAAAATATTGTATTTTTGGTCAATGTAATTAGTATAATTATTGAATAATTAACAGATACAGAATATTTACATTATATTTCAATGTTATAATTATTATTTACTTTTTCTTTTCCTATCAATTTATGAAAATGAGTGCAAATAAATTTGATGAAAACCTATCAACATTTTAATTATTTTATCCTTTCGAGACAAAGATAATTATAAAAACTTATAGTTATGTTTTCCCAAAATTAAAAAATGATAAATATAGATGGATCATTTGAAATAGAGAGAGAATTTATATTCTAGAGGAATATAATAAAATAATAGTATTATATTGCATTAGAATTATCAGATAAGATATTTGGCAAGAAAATAATTGTATTATACAAATTATAAAAAAAATGATAGAATTCAAAAATATCATTTTAGTTGTTTAGATTGTGATGGTCCGAATATATCAAATTGCTTATCTTATTCTGTTGAATAATAGAGAATTTATTTTCTTGAATTTATTAATTTTATTTGCTAAAACCTTTGTAAATTATGATAATACATGTATTAATTATGAAGATAAAAATCTATAGATAATAGATCAATAATATCCTTATTAAAAGTGTTAACCGGTTTATTTTGAATTTGATGGATAATGCATAGGATGATATATTATTAAATTAATATTAATAGTCCTTCTAAAATAAGTGATAATTTAATTACTTTTTTTGATTTTTTTGAAAATTAAAAATGAAGTTAAAATTCTATTTGTTACTCAGATGATTATGCATATTATAATGATATATCTGATGTTGTTATATGTGATTATTGTGCGTATTCAATTGAGAATACGGTTAACTTATAAGATTAATAGATGCTGTAATAAATATTCTTATTAAAATCTGTGACATTAAATTGTGACTAGGTAATTTAGAAAGACAAAAATATCCTGAATGTTAATAAAAAAAGGTTTGCGAAATATGAATACCGATTAAGCAATTATTTGTGATAAATTGAATAGAAGTGAAGAAGCGTTTCAGTATAATTATTTAAATATTCAGAAACGACCAAAATATGTAGATTTTTATAATGGTAAGGTATAAATTAGAAGATTTATGATTTCTTAGTGATTTTATTATTAGACATGTAAGGATGCATTTTATAGTGAAGAAATATGAATAGTTTTGAAGAAGCACTCGATGTATAAAGATTTAGCTATTCCAAAAACCCATAAAGGAGAATTAGTTATGATTTATACTGAAGTCAGTTAGATTTGTATGAATCCTTTAAAAAAAGCAAAAATATTGCCAATATTCTAATTAAAGACCATTTTGATAATTACCATTAAAACTATATTATATTAATTTAGTTTAAGGATCATAAAAATTAAAGGATCAAATTTAGGTACATTCTTATGTGTNATATTTCAATGTTATAATTATTATTTACTTTTTCTTTTCCTATCAATTTATGAAAATGAGTGCAAATAAATTTGATGAAAACCTATCAACATTTTAATTATTTTATCCTTTCGAGACAAAGATAATTATAAAAACTTATAGTTATGTTTTCCCAAAATTAAAAAATGATAAATATAGATGGATCATTTGAAATAGAGAGAGAATTTATATTCTAGAGGAATATAATAAAATAATAGTATTATATTGCATTAGAATTATCAGATAAGATATTTGGCAAGAAAATAATTGTATTATACAAATTATAAAAAAAATGATAGAATTCAAAAATATCATTTTAGTTGTTTAGATTGTGATGGTCCGAATATATCAAATTGCTTATCTTATTCTGTTGAATAATAGAGAATTTATTTTCTTGAATTTATTAATTTTATTTGCTAAAACCTTTGTAAATTATGATAATACATGTATTAATTATGAAGATAAAAATCTATAGATAATAGATCAATAATATCCTTATTAAAAGTGTTAACCGGTTTATTTTGAATTTGATGGATAATGCATAGGATGATATATTATTAAATTAATATTAATAGTCCTTCTAAAATAAGTGATAATTTAATTACTTTTTTTGATTTTTTTGAAAATTAAAAATGAAGTTAAAATTCTATTTGTTACTCAGATGATTATGCATATTATAATGATATATCTGATGTTGTTATATGTGATTATTGTGCGTATTCAATTGAGAATACGGTTAACTTATAAGATTAATAGATGCTGTAATAAATATTCTTATTAAAATCTGTGACATTAAATTGTGACTAGGTAATTTAGAAAGACAAAAATATCCTGAATGTTAATAAAAAAAGGTTTGCGAAATATGAATACCGATTAAGCAATTATTTGTGATAAATTGAATAGAAGTGAAGAAGCGTTTCAGTATAATTATTTAAATATTCAGAAACGACCAAAATATGTAGATTTTTATAATGGTAAGGTATAAATTAGAAGATTTATGATTTCTTAGTGATTTTATTATTAGACATGTAAGGATGCATTTTATAGTGAAGAAATATGAATAGTTTTGAAGAAGCACTCGATGTATAAAGATTTAGCTATTCCAAAAACCCATAAAGGAGAATTAGTTATGATTTATACTGAAGTCAGTTAGATTTGTATGAATCCTTTAAAAAAAGCAAAAATATTGCCAATATTCTAATTAAAGACCATTTTGATAATTACCATTAAAACTATATTATATTAATTTAGTTTAAGGATCATAAAAATTAAAGGATCAAATTTAGGTACATTCTTATGTGTAAACAACATTTTCTTATCTAATTTAAAATAAAGAATTAATAGTCAAATTTTTAATTTTATTATACTTTAATATTTGAAAAACTATATGTTCTAAAAACTTTACAGAGTCTAGGACATTCAAGACAATTAAATCCATATTTAATTCTTAAAAAACCATCGAAATAGTCCTTATTACATACATAAAAATATTATTAATCAGAAGTCTTAAAACTATTACATGATAATCCACATTTACGAGATTAATGTAATGAATTATCATTTCATCTTATTTGTTTCTATAAATAAAAACTTTTAATTCTTGGACTCCAATGAGAATTCATAATTTGAATTAATTTCTTCATTCATATAATATTATCAATCTTATAAAATACAGTTCTCACATTTGTTAATTTTTCGAGAAACTTGAAACTTCTCTAAAGTTTATACAATACATAGATCTTTAAATTCTCATACATACGAAGTTAAACAGTTTTATATATTTAGAGTCTACTTTATACATTTTACCAAATAACAATGAAATATAAAACCATCTTAACATTAAAGACACTAATTTTACCGAATTCTCTTCATAATAAAAACTTTTATCTAAATTATCAAGAGAATTACTTTAGGAATCTCCAATATATACAAAACAATGTAAACAATTATTTATAATATATAATTTGCAAATTTTACTGAATGATGGAAAATAAGTTAGTTGAGACGATACTAGAGTAAATTCTTTTCTTTAGAATATAGATAATATTTAATTGAAGAGATCTAAACATTATCCATTAACTTCATTTTATCCTTTCTTACATACACACAAAGTTACTTATCTTTTGCAATCCCACATAACACGCAAGATTTGAAATTACAGGTTTTTCTAAGTTGAAATATCTATTGATATAATAGAATTTTTTGAATGCTTCATCAAATTTTTTATTTTATCTATATTTTAAGACAATATCAGAATTTTAATTTTGTGATTCTCTCTACACAATGCATTATTAAAATATATCACCACTTATAAGCCTTAGAAAAATTATTGATTGATTGAACCTTAGAGTTTGATCAAACTTATAAGTTAATGGAAATTATTAATGGAAGCTTTACATAATTTAAATTCATTAATAAGTATCTCGATCTTGAAATCATTTTTCTCATTTTAAATCATTAATTTTAATTAAAATTTTACTATCTTTTTAAAAGAGTTATGTGAGGAGTCTAAAGAATATTGCGATCTCCAGATCGAAATAATAGGATTGATATAGATATAAGTTATAGAAAAAGAATCTTGAATGTAAAATGAGATTGAAATAATTTGATATTTTTAACAAGCTGCATGGAATTAAAGGATTTCAGAAGAAAACTAAGCATCATTCACTTGTGGTATAAGGCAAAAGATAGTGTTAAGACAAAATGAATAGATGATTTTTGAAAATATTTGATTTTCAGATATCGTAATATCATAAAATCTATTTGCTATTATATTTGAGAAATAGTTGTTTTTAAATTATATTTTTCTTAATTTTATTTCAATAAATCTTAAAATAAGCAGCACCAAAGCACAAAGAATAACTTTTTGTCATAAAGTTAGTTAAAAATGTTCAATAAAATTTCAACTTCAATACTTTTTAGACTCTGGCAAACTGGTAAGAATTATTTGTTTTTCCTATAAAATTATTTAATAATTGAGAAAATAAATAATTTAATTGACAGCGTACCAGGGTTTATTGATGGAATCTTTAGAATTATTTATGAAAGTTAATAATGCAAACTTACTTTGCAATATTTTTATTAATAAAAAGAAAGGAAATTTTTTCCTACCGAAGTTCAAATAATCTGAAATTTATAAATAAATCAAGTGATATATCTACAGATTCAAACAATATACACTAAAATAACCTTACAAAATTAAAGCAAGAATACCTGCTAATATTATGATTGAAAATAAAAAATGCTTTATCAAACTTGATATTTCCCTTTATTCAATATAATTTGATCAATTTCTCCACCTTCAAAAGGCACTCTATTCATTCCTATAATTTTATTTGAATTTTTACAAATTTTAGTTCCTTTTTTCTCAATTCGTTATTTCGATTAGTGTTTGAATTTTACAAAATTACAATTCTAATCAAATCCAGGTAATTCAACTTTCTATAGACAGAAATCAGTTCTAAATCATGTTGATAATAATAAACAAATTTTAAGCGATCAAGAAATTATTTTTTTTAATTAAGATATCCAGATTAAAAAAAATCAGATATTCTCATTACTCATTCTGAATTAATTTCAGAAATAAGATAAAATCAACCAAAATGCTTAATTTTTTGTTATACTCAATACGATACTAAATCTAAATAATAGAAAGAAGCAATTAATCCCTATTTAGGTGTTTATCTCAAACATATAATTTGCAGCCAAAAATACAGATTAAGTTTTATTTAACGAAAATTTTAAATCTAAATTTAAATAGGCCAAATTTGACCATTTTTTTTAAAAGCAAATACAAAAAAATTTCGAAAATTACCCAAAGAAAAGAAGATGTCTGTCTTTATAAAATCAAAAGTCTCAAATAAACCTTAATTTATTTTATCTTTATTTGATTCATATTTCACATTTTTATTGCTATGTAAATTAGTATATAAAGTTCATTTTTTTATTTATAATCATTTAGATTCAAAATACTTATTATTCTATCATTTAAGGTTGATAAGAATAATTTCTACAAATTTTAAATAATATTATCATAAAAAATAAAATGATAATTAGATAAATTAATTGTTAAATTAGATATAAATATTTTTTTTTAAATCTACATGATTAAATTATTTTAATATTAATTATTTATATTAAATCTCAGTATTGAATATAGAATAAGGGTTCACATTAATTTTTATTATTTATCATATATTATAGTTTTGACGTCATCTCATTATTATTTTTAATGAATAAAATCATAGCAATCTTGTTTGTTCTATGTATTGCAAATGCAAGATAATACACATTATACAAATAATGTGATTCTGCTTGGGCTAATGATTAATTAGGAACAAGTGCAAATACAATATGCAGAGCAGGATGTTTAATTTCATCTATAGCCATGATGTTACATACTTATGGTGTAGTAACAGATGGTACAACAACTCCAAAAACAATGAATACATGGTTAAGAAAGAACGGAGGGTATGCTTCTGGTGATCTTTTTGTCTGGGCCTCAATTAATCCTCTTGGTTTTGTTTTTCAAGGGTGGATCACAACTACTTAAGCAAAATGTAAGAATTATAATTATTTTTTAGATAAATTTGATGCTGGATTACATGTTATTTTGAATGTTAATAATGGTGGTCACTATGTGTTGATGACATCATATTCAGGCGACACTTTCAATGTTAATGATCCTGGATATTCCAGATCAACATATTCAGCTAATGAAGTTAAAGAGGCTGCTTATTATGTCCATAGTAAAATCACCTATTTTAAGAATCATGTCTTAAATATTTGAGTAATTGATTTATCGAACATTAATAAGAATATTTCTAAATAAGATTCATAATAATAATAAATATAAATTTCATATATCATACATAATCAAAAAAAAATCATTTCATTCATTTATAATGTTAGTCTTGTTTAATAGAGCTTTTCATTAAGGTATAATTTTTTATATATAAGAATATTAATAAATATACTTATTAATTAATGATATAAATAGTTATCCTACTTCTACATTGTATATAATAATATTATTTTTGGTGGTAATTTATTTGTAATTTGAGATTTAAACATATTATGTTATTTTCAGTAAATAAAAATTTGAATGTGATATATGTATAAATCTAAAATATCTTTAAATTGGAATTAGATTATTTTCTAGCTTCCTATTTGTGAAATAAAAGAAATATACTCAAAGGTTGTATTCATTAAAACAGTTTAATTGGTGAAATCAATACTTAATTGCAAACCAAAAATTACTCTTGTTCTTTTTCTAAAAATTAAAATTTATTTGATTAATAAATTTTAATTATATATACTAAAGGTCTAATGTTGCTAAAAATGAATTGATACCTTCAAGTTTATTGAAAATTCAAGAATCAAATAACTAGACAGTTGCTAAATAAATACTACATTAGATGGAGCAAAGATTTCACACCTTATTATAAAAAGAAATTATAATGTTTATTTTACAAATTATTGTAATGCATCAATGTATAATTTGATAATCAAAATTCTACTGATACAAATTCTTAATAATCATTTAGAAATCAAGCATTCACTTCACTTAATTCATTATGAATAATCATTTTATTATAGTATTTTTAAGTAAACGAAATGATTAATTTCTAAATATTATTAAGCATTTTCATCATTATTTAATCAGAACTTTAAATAATAAAAATAATTATAATTATTTCAAGTTAATTACTTTAAAAACTAAACAAGATTATAAATAATTCTAAATATTTACATAAGGAATTTTCATAATTTATTAAATATTCTCGTCTATCACACTTTATAAATTATCTAAACTCTTGAAATATAATTAAATACAGAAATTTAATTTTTATGAAAAATTTTTTTATTCCTTTCATTTTGGGCTTAAATAACTTACACTTTGTCCTTCCATCTTATATTGAAGGATTAAATGAGTAATAATAATTTTAAACATTTCCATTCCATAGTGGAATGCAGAACTATAATAAATTTGATGCTTTTAGTTATGGAGTTTGGAGTAAATATCTTCCTTTAAGTACAATTTCTTAAGTTGGATTAATAGGAATGTTTGATAGTCACTGCTTTCTTTAAAACTCTATTATTGAAAAAACAAATAAGGAAATTAACTTACTCTATTATGATTGTGTTGATCAATAAACTAATACTATTTAAAAGAAGGTTTAATTTCTAAGTAGTGATAATTAAATGCACAATTATAAATATGAAATCGATCCATTAATGTATGAAAATTATTGGTATTTTTTTGGTCTGAATATAGTACTATCAGAAGGAATTTTTGGATTTTATATATTTCAAGGGGAAATCTTAATAACAAGTTAACAACTTAATATTTAAGGCCCTTTTAAACATTAAGATTTAACAATAATTATAGGAGGAGGTTTAATTGTAGAAGAATCATAAATACTATGGATTCAAGAAATTTAAAAGCTTTCTTATTTTCCTGGAAAATTGACAATATTACACCCAACTATTCAAAATTTAGAGGAAAATTATGATAGATATGATTATTTCCAGAGCTTCTCAAAAATGTACAATCCAGAATGCATTACATAAACTAATTCAATAGAAAATTTACCAGATTTTGATATTTACAAATTAAACCATAATGTATTTGCTTCAGAAAATATAAACTGTGATGAATTTTAATTTGAAACTTGGATTCAAATTTCAAATTTTCGTCAAGAAGACTAATAATTTATTTATTAATTGTTAAAAATATCAGCAAATTTTGAAAATAGTTATGCTAAAAATGAAAATTTATCACCATTTTAATTATTCTATGAATTTTCAAATTCGTAAATTAAATTAAAAGTGACTACATATAGTTTGATATTTCCACTTGTTGATTATGATTTTAAGAAGTAAAGTTTTTTGTAATAAAAAGAATGGAGTATCAATAATATTAAATTATGGCATTTCTTATATGTCTCTTTGAGTAATAATATACTTTAAATATAAATTACATTTTATGAAGGATTAGATTAAACCCTATATGAAACTTAATTTATAGTTAATTAATTCCATGAAGTATAATTTAAATTATAATATGGAAATATATTACAATCATCAACTAATTATTTGACTGGAATTCTGAAAAACATGAAATTTATTAATTCTGCATCATAAGGAGATATTTTCAAAGGTTGTCATCATAGTTGTAAATAATGCGAAGGTCCTACAAATAAAGATTGCTTATCTTGTTCAGAAGAATCAAATCGAATCTATAATTCATAATATAAAGTATGTGTATGTCCATTTGATTATATTGATGATATAGAGTGTAAGAGTATGGAAAACTATAATTTACTATTTGATCCAGAATTTGAAGATTATTCAACATCAAATTGCCCTTAAGGATATTTTAATAAAGATGAATTTTGCTTAAAATGGTAAGTTATTTTTTTATTAATATAGCCCTTCTTTTATAAAGGATACAATAATGACATGTTTGGAATGTATTTAAAATCCTAAAAGTTGGCAAAATGATCCATATTGTTAAACTAATCTCTACATAGATCAATAAGGAAGTCCAGCACAATATAAAATTGATAATTTAAAGACATATTATATATTTGATGGGATTGATATTAAACCATAATAATTGGGTTTATATCAGGATTAAGATTAAGATTAAGATTAAGATCAAGATCAATTTGATTCATTATACTAAGATTTTTAAGAGACAAATAAGAATTTTCTAAGATTTTACTCTTCAAAAAAAGTTATTGAAAGTTATTCTTGCGATCTTGAAAATTGCGAAATTTGTGTTATGTTAATTACAAAATAAATTTGCTAAAAATGTTCAAGAATATCTAAGTTAAAAAATGGAATTTGTGAGAAAATCATTCGTGGAGTCATTCAACAAAATAATTGCTTAGCTCCTTATTATATAACATCTGAAAACCTTTGTAATTTATGTGAAATTGAAAATTGTTAGTTTTGTTTTGAATATGCAAGTAATGATTTAACTAAATGCACACTATATAGTGATTTTTAAACCTTTTAAAAAGATGAGTTTCTTAAAATAGGTTGTGCATTATGTTTAGATGGATTTATATTTGATTTTACATTAGGTAAGTGTATTTATAAAGAACCAACTTTACCTAACTGTTAGAGATCTTTTATAAACCCATTAGGTTAATAACTTTGTACTTTATCAGCTATTTAAGACTTTGGAGTTGCTCCAGAAATAGCAAATTGTTAAAAATATATATCTAATTGTAAATAATGTATTTAAACACCTTAATCGATTGTAAAGTGTATTATTTGTGAAGATGGATATTCGAGTTCCCTAACAACTGGGCATTGTAGAATCTGTCAAGTAGAACATGCTAAATTGTGTATAGAAGGAGATTATACTAAAGGTGATGCTTGGATGTAATAAATACAAAGTTTCTTAATGTTATTTTTACCAAATAAATATATGTATCCAAAGTCTGCTAACTTGTTATATATTACACCTCTTGCAATCAAATGTATAGATAAATATGAAATGAACCAAAATTTTTGTAGGTTATATTGCGATATAAGTTGTTTATCTTGTAAAAAAGAAGAATAACCATATAACGGATTCACTTGTAATAAATGTATTCAGGATTATTATATGGAACCTTTAAGGAGTATAGAAAAAGAGACATGTATTACTTGTCCTTTGCTATGTTTGGTTTGTGAATAAAGAACAACAGATGAGATTTAAGTATGAAATAGATATCTATTTTAGAATATTAATCCTTCATATGAAATAAATGATTAAAATAGAAAGTATACTTATAAATGTATACAAAAAAGGTAAGACTAAAACATAATTGTTGATCCTTATTAATAAATAGCTAAATATTGCTTTAATGGAATTTGTGACAATCTTATTTATTATTAAGTATATTTAAAATGATAATTAGATACAAAATAATTGTGAAGATTTGTATAAGATATTTGATGGATGGAGTTCTTTTTCTGATGATTTTAATTTTGACTATTTTAATCATATTGGAGCACAAAGATTTAAGTTAATCATTCCTATTCAAGATATTTGCATCCTTAATGAAATTGCTACATAATCTTTATCTAATGAATTAAAAAAAAGAGTTTTTTCCTTATTTTGGGTTGAGATGACATTACTAGGCAATCACTCTCCATCTACTTATTAACCTATAATAACAATCAAAAACTTTAATTCTATCAGTTTTAAAAATCTATTTTTTATTATATTTTAAACCTTAGAATTATTGATACTTAATGATGATTCTCCTACTAATTTAATACTTACTGATTCTAAATTCATAGCAAATAATGAGGAGTAAATATATTTATCAATTTAAACAGAATAATGTCAACATTTTGAAATCAGAAATATCACATTAAGTGATTTAAATATTTCTAATTCTGTTGTATTTTTAATAAGATTTCACAATAAAAATTAAGATGATTCAATCAAATTACTAAATTTCACAATTAGAAATTGTAATTTAACTCAAACAATTCTTTTTTAATTTTACAATTTTCCTAATGATATTACTATTGAAAATTTTAAAATTGAAAACTGCTAATTTTATAACTCAACAATTTTTAGTTTTATATAGGCTATAAACACGTAATCTATGATTAATATCAATAATTTGATAATTAGTAAATCTTTTATTTAAAACTCACTATTAATTAATGGTACAAACACCCATTAATTTAAACTAGTTTAAGTTTCATTAAATTTGAATAAATTAACTAATTCAAAATTTTTACTATTTTAAAATAGTCTTATTATCAGGTAATTAAATTTAAGAGATTCTTAAATATTTTAGACATTTTTATTTTATAAATTATTATCAAATGCATAATCAAATAGTTTATAATTCGATCAATTTGATATTTAAAATAATATTCTAACCAATACTTCTCTCATTTTTACAGAATAATCATCAACACTTAATTAAGTAGTGATTAAATTATAAAATGTTAATTTCTTAGAAAATAGTATTCCTAATGCATAAAATTCAACGACTTATCTATTTTATTTGATTTGTTTTAGCTTTTCAATAAAGAAATTTGAAATAATAAATTCATATCATCTTTAATATTTTTTTCTTTTAAGTGTATCATTAATAGATGTAGAGGATATTTTATATACTAATAAAATATAGAAATATCGAGTACCTACATCTATATAATGTTTAGAAGTCTTAATAGAAAACTCATAATTATTTTACATTTAAGGCTACTTAACTCTATCATTAACAAATATTACAATTATGAATCAATATAGTATAGATTAATCTTTAATTTAAATTTTATCCAATTCATCTGTTGCAAACAAAAGAGAGAGTATTAAACTTAAAGACTTAAATTTTGTAGGAAATATTTTATTAAAGAAGAGTTTAGGTCTAGTACTATCATAATTAGCAATATATTCTGATAAAAATTAAATTATTGAAATTGAGAAGATTAAATTTTAAGATAATAGTTTTAATTAACTTATTGATGATCCATCCCAAACATCTTCAGGTTTATTATTTATTAATTCATAATAAAGTTCTTTATATATATCTAATTTACTTTCATAAAGAAATGCATTGACTAATTCCACAAATTCATATATATACATTAATACGAATTTATTGTAAATTAATAACATAGTTATTAATAATCATAATTAATTAATTTAATCATTTTGGAACAAATATTTTAATATAGATTTATCTGAAAATTATAATTAAGAAATTATCAATTAAATGATTAATAAAGTATTTACAATTTAAAATAAAGGAGGTGCTCTGGCAATTACAACAGAACATTTCACTATAAATAATTGTTTTTTTAAGGATATATTGGCTTAAAGTAGCTCTATACTTGAAATCATAACTTAAGGTTTAGGTAAAGTAACCATAACAAACTGTTCTATGATATCAGCATAAAATATTTTCTCATAAATTGGAGAAAATGAAGGAGCAATATCAATTTATTCAAAAAATAGTCTTTTAGAACTTAAATTTCAAAATATAACCTTGAAAGAGATATAAAATAGATTAACCCCATCTATCCTATCAATAGTTCCATCATTTAAGTCTAATACTATTATTTTTCAAAATATAGTCATTTAAAACTGTTTCTCTTTAGTAAATTAATTTATGAAAATAGAGTTTTAACTATTAAATCTAAAATCAAATATTGTTTCTATGAAAAACATTTCAATATAATAAGATGAAAATTAATTAATTTAATACTTTTAAAAAATGGAATCTATAACAATCTATGAAATTTAGAAAATAACATATGATAATGCCATTATTAATTTATAAGGATGCAATTTAAGAATTAAAAATTTTTAATTTTAAGGAATTTTATTGTCTTCAATAATAAAAGTTTTAGATTCATACACTATTTAACTGGAAAATCTACATATTGTTGAGGTTTAGTTATTTTATCCAATTAACATTATTCATATTGGATAAACAACATCCATGTAATTTAACGCTGTTTTATATAATATTGAGATAATGAATTTAGTTTCATTTGATTTTAATAAAATTAAGACTAATTTAATTGAATATTCCAAAATAGTATTAGAATAAAAAAGTTGTAATATCAATCTTTAATTATTAAATTAAGATTTAAATGCACCCATAAAAATTGCATGGATATTTGAACAAATTTTGCTTTTATCAAGTTAAAAAGGGACTTTAATCTATATTTTAAGTACGAATTCTCAAAATAGAATAAAATTAATTTAGATATTAATATCAAATAATAATTGTTTAGAATGTTAGAATGGAATAATTTAATTTGATATAAAATAATATTTATCAATATTTATCCAAGAATTATATTGTCTCAAGAATAATATATCAAATTATGGATGTGTATATGCTAAAGCAGAAAATTAATAAGAATCATAAATGGTAATTAAGAATTCTATATTTAACATGAATAGGGGTATTATAGGCTCTGCAATTATGGCTGAAAATGTAAGAATTACTCTTGTCAATTTGAAATTATTAAATAATATTGCAACCTCCCAAGGAGGAGCTTTGTATTTATCAATTAATAATAATTAATTTAAAATAATTCAAACAATTATTTATAATAACAAAGCAGAATAAGGAGGAGGAATTTACTTATAAGGTAATGGTAAATTAAATAAAGACAATTTTATAAAATCATGGATGAAACTAAATTCAGCATATCTTTTACCTAATAATCTTTAAGAAATGCCTACTCATTTATCTTTATCAATTAATAATTTTGAAATGAAAACTATTTAGAAAAAGATAAATAATAAAACATCAAATAGTTTGTTATTATAACCTTATTTTGTAATGGAATAAGGAAAGGTAAAATTAACGAAATTATTAATGTTACCAAGCAATTAAGAAATTAGTAATTATTAAATATATAATCCATCATTACTTAAATCTGAGAAATATTTAGAAGAATTTTCAATATCTTATAAAAATAATCTTAATGAAATATTACCTAATTTTTCTAATTCCACATGTGAAATTTTTATGTAAACATTAATAAATGATACTCTAATTGATTCGACAAATATTGCAAATATTGAATATAATTTTGAATCTAAAAATTTTGATTTAAGATTTTTATCTATAACTGTAGATCCATACAAATAAAATAATTAAACCAATTAAATTTAAATTGTTTGTCATCTTAATGATAAATCTGAAACTTTATTATATGATATTTAAATTAAAGGCTTTATGTGTTAATTAGGAGAGTTTTATTTTTAATCAGGTTGTTAAATATGTTAACCAAGTTAAGGATATTATTCTGTAACATACAATACTACGAAATGTTCAATATTTGATTAAAATAAATTTAAATCTATAACTTCAAATTAGATTTAACTCAAGAAGGGTTATTGGAGACCTGATTATTAATCTGATTTAATTGAACATTGTTTTAAATTTGTTGATTTTTGTGAGGGAGGATGGGTTGTTTCAGATGATTTATGTTTAGTGGGACATATTGGAGGTTTATGTGAAGAATGTGACATTTATGATATAAGAGGACAAGGAAATTATTTTAAAAACTAATTAAATACATCCTGTCAAGATTGTAGAGATGCAATTAATAGTGTTTTTCCATTTGTTCTTACATCAATATGGTATTTTACATAAACATAATTTATAGGGCCCTTATTTCAACTCTTTTAACTTTAAGAAGTATTGATAAATCTAATAAATTATTTTCTTCTTTGAAAATAAGGTAAAGATTTGTGAAGATTATTTTTAAATTAAATTAAGGTAATATAATATTTATATATAGATCATGAGAGCATTCTACTTAAATTATTTCTTAATTATGTATGGATATTTTCAGTAATTTTTACTTTTAATTTTTAATTTTCATTTTCATTTACATTCATTAATTAGACAAGTAACACATCATACTTTATGGCTAACAATTTAGATTGCTATTTATCAAAGATCTATTAGAATATATCTCTTATTTATAATAGAATAATAACTATGATAGTGTTAATGGTGTGCTAATTATTAATAATATATATGGGCTTTAAGTTATATTCAAAAATCAAACACTAGAAATTTAATAGCAGCATAATATCTACTACACTATTGTACTTATATGTTTCAAATTATGCTGCATTGATAAAACAGTATAATTAAATAATAATTATATTAGACTATTTTCATTATTGGCTAAGAGGATAATATCTGATATAGAATATATTTCAGGAGATGTATCATTACTTTATAATTCACCAAGTCATAAAAAATGGATAATTGGCTTTGTTTTACCAGGATTAGGATTGATTGGATGTCTCATCCCATCTGCTCTCTTTCTACTCTTATACATCTAAAGAGACAAACTAGATAAGATAAAGTTTAGAAGACATATATGTTATTTATTCAATGAATACAATAATGAAAATTACTTTTGGGAATGGATCAAATTATGGAAAAAAACAGTCATTATCATTATTATGACATATTTTGAAACAAATGTATTTGTGAAGGCTTCATTGCTTGGATTATGTTTATTACTTTATTAATTATATGCAGCAAAATAGAAACCTTATATACTTAATAATTTAAACGAATTAGATGTATCAACAGGATAAATATGTTCAATTGCAATATTTTTAGCTTCAATTAAATATATAAGTGAATAATAAGAGAATAAATCAACTTCTGTTTTAATCGAAATGATTCTAGTTTTACTCTGTTTGAAACTAAGTTATCCTTTTGTTATTGATTTATTAAGAGTCTATTATAAAAAATATAAAATTTTGCTATTAAGTAATTTATATGATGCATTAAAAATAATAAATTGCAATTTAAGTCTAACACTTTATGTTAATAGAAAATTAAATTAAATGAAGTAAAGAGAATAAAAGTTAAAAACAAATTTAATAAAATTAAGAATTCATTTATTACAAATATCAAAGTTTTAATTAGAATCATAAAAGTATTAATCGTATTATTATTAAGATCTCTCGTGAATTTATTAAATTCATAATCAACATCTAGACTAGCAATGTTAGGTCTTGATTAGAATGCATAAAAGATAATTAGATTAGAAACAAATTGAAATCAATATTTATCAATAATCTAATTTAGAGGTTTTTATTAATTTTAATATATATTTATATTATTTATAGTTTATTTTAAGTATATTATTAATTTAAAGATTTTTATTTTAAAGTAAATTATTTCTTTTTAAATCGATCTGTTAGATTATGGCTATAATTAGGTTAATAATATAACTATTCTAATATACTATGTTTGAATTTCTAATTATCGCCCCACCTGAAGTTAGTTATATATTATTATAATATCTTTACAATCTGTATAACTTTAGACACAATATAAATGGATTATTTATCATATTTTTCAGAATTAATTATAAATAGTTCAATTTTTAGTTTTATTACAATTTTAATTCTACCTTTAATAGATAGATTTAGAGATTTGAAAAATAAAGTCGAAGATTAAAAACTGGATCTTAGATAAATCAAAAACTTTAATTTAAAATGTTAAGCTATACAAAATACTATTCAGTTTTCGTTATCTTCAATGATTATTCTGTTGAAATTTTTAAAGAAAACCATTGTTTATATGATTATTTCAAAGTAAAATGAAAATCTTATGTATACTTCAGAGAGTAATAATTATAATAATGAATTACAATAATTATGATATTGTAATATTTGTTATATTTTACTCATGAAGTTTTTCTAGAAAATAGCTTTCAATCTAAAAGCGCAATATTTCAATTCAAATGTTTCTCACTAATTTAATTCAAATGATCAAAATATGATTTGAAATCCACTTTCATAATTCAAGTATTAGTTTTAATTGCTTATCTGTTAATAAAATATATTAATTAAAAATATAATTAATCAAAAATCTCATAAAGATACATATATAATTCAACCTCGTAGAAGGCTTGCTATGCTTAATAAATTTGATCTCAAATTAGTTAAAACCTACTGGATTAAAAATAGAATTTAAACAAAAATGGATAAACTTATTAGTGTAATAATCAACCATCCAATTATATATTTCTATTCAAAATCTAATATGTGGCTATAATCATCCAGAGAAATTAAAATATTTAATAATGTTACACAAAATATGGAAAATTCAGGTATACCTATTTTGAATAGGGATATTTTATCTTTAAAGGGATTTTCAAAAATTAGAAATGCTTAATTTATAGAACAAGATATGCAACATAAAATAGTTTATAATAAAGGCTTCTCGTAAAAATATAAAAGGGAAAATATAAATGCTGCTTTTCTAATAATATTCCAATAACAATATTTTTTGGCATGTGAATTTTCAAAGTTAATTGAATGGTATATTGAATAGAATTTACGTTGATAAATTGTATGTTTTAACAAGAGAGTATGCTTTGAACTCACGTAAATATAAACTTGAAGGATATAAAAAATAAATATCAAAGTAAATAAGGCTAATCCAAAATTAATTATTAAGATGTAATGATCTAAATTATAATTGCAAGTAATTTATAAAAGGCTTGCCATAAAAATATCTAAGATGAATAAATCAACTATTGAAAATAAATTTGATTAAAAATTTTGTAAATATTCGTAACTAAATTAAAAAAGTGACAGTGATAATTTAGATAATTGTTAAAGCTTTTATTAAAAATGATCCTGATTTTTTTTTTAAGCATAATTTTAACCTTCAACCTTTTATTATTAATAACAAATGGTGTAAATATAAATTTTATGTGTTTATTGGGCTGTTGTAGATAATTTCTTCCGAAAGACCATCACTATAAAAGAAGATAAAGCATAAATTAAGATAGAAATCAAAAGTAAAATACAAAACACTTAAATATTTTGTATAAAAAGTGGGTTAACACCTTTTTCTGAAAACTTTGGAGGAGCTTAAAAATAATAAGAATCTGTAGGTTTATTAAGTTCTATCAAATTTGGAATGGCAAAAATATCATCCCACTAGATTTATTTGAAAAATTATTTAACATTAAGAGGATAGTCAATGTTAAAAAAATAGAAATAATTTATCCAAGTCAGAATCTCCAAAATAGTCCAAAAAGAGTCTAATCCACCAAAGAAGATGGTAAGAGGTCCAATTAATTGTAGGATGAATGTGAATTAATTAGAAGCACTGACTATTTATTGGGCCTATTATTTTTAATCCATATTGTAAAATATTTATTTTCTGGGTGTTATTACAATTTCTTTTATTTCATCTAAAAATCTTAAGGTTTTATTAGATAATGGTATCATTAAATGAATTAAATTTATCTCTGAAATAGTTTTAAGAAATTCAAAGTCGATTTAGCAACCGTAAACTGATGTTTCATTTATTTAAAATTATGTTAAGTTGTAATTAAATTCATGCGGTTCAAAGAAATTAATGTTAATTTGAATTAAAGAGCATATATTCAAAAAATTAATCTCACTTTTTATTACTAAATTATTATCAGAGCTTGAATTGGTAAAACTAACATCAACTTTTTTTTCAGGAATCTTTAAACAAATATTTCTTGTACATTCATAACCTTTTTCAATTTCACAAAAAGAAGTGCAACCATCTTTATCTTATTTATTACCATCATCACATTATTCATCTCCTGCTTTAATATTATCTCCACATTTAGGAACACATTTTCTTAATTTATAATCAGCATATAATCCTTAACTATTATTACACTTTTCGCATTTTTCAATTCTACATTTGGTACAATTATTTGGAGTCTTTTCACACTCTTCACATTATTCCGAACAAGTGATACATTCATTCTCAAGTAAGAAATATCCTTTTAAGCATGAAGTACATTTGATATTTCCTTCCATATAGATGCAATTTGCACAATTCGATTGGCAAATGAAGCAAATACTTGTTTCTTATACTTTTATACATTAGTATCCTGGATCAATAATACATTAGGTGCAACCATCTCTTGAAACATTATTACCATCATCGCATTATTCAGATAAAAGGACTATTCCATCTCCACATGTACTTGTACAAATTTCATTTTAATTTTTGTATCCTTCTTAACATTCGGTACATTTACCTTGTATGCAAATTTTACATAGTAATTCACATTAAAATTGGCATAAATTACATCCATCATTAGGCTATTCATTTCCATCATCGCATTATTCATCACCAGCTTTAATTTAATCTCCACATTTTGTAACACAAATATTTTTAATATCATCGTAATACAATCCTTTTGACTCATCGCATTATTTCCTCTCTAAACATCTTTCTTACTTTTGGTCATAAAAATAGGATTGGATACAAGATAAACATTTTCCATTTTGGCAAATTGTACAGGTTTCTTGACATTAGAACTGACAATTAGTACAACCATCATAAATAATATTGTTTCCATCATCACAATTTTCTTAAGGTGTTATGATTTTATCTCCACATATAGAGTCACAAGAATTAGTTTGTAAATCTAAATAGTAGCCTTGAGAGCAATTAATGCATATTCCTGTATGACAATATTAGCAATTAATAGGACAGTTATATTTACAGTTAATATATGTTTCTTAATAATTTTAAATTAAATAATTGCATTATTCATTCTTAGCTAAAATTCCATCTCCAAAAATGGAGATACAGTTTTATTTTAGATTATCTCTATTTCTAAAAAAACATTACTAATTGGAGCATGATAAACACATCGATGAACAATTTATATCCATCTATAAACAAGTTGTGTAGATAATATTTTTTTATTTATCTTTCAGATAGTCAATGATTAAATCTTCCCGTTAATGAAAAAGATCTAAATTTTAATCTATTATTAAAAAACTTTTAAAATATGTAAAATACAATTATTCGAATTGTTACATAAACTCTTTATCTTATAATCCTAATGATTAAAGAGTGATCGCTTTTATATAATTATTGTATTCGAAAAATTAATATAATTGCAATTCTTGATTATCATAGGATTGATAAGAAAAAAAATTCAGATCAATTTAAGAAAGGATTTTATCTTCATAATTTATTTTGATGCATTTTTCTTGGATTAATAAATAGTTATCGAAACATTTTAAGCATATGCCCTTAAAACAAAGAGCACATTAATCTTAACAATTATATTAACAATAATGACATCCATCATCAAATATCAAATTTCCATCATCACATTATTCATCAAGTGTGACAATTTCATCACCACAAATAGTAAAACATTATTTATCACGTAATTCATATCCAATTTTACATTATAAACATCCATTACCTTAAGAAAGGTCACATTCAAGACAGGATTCTCTACATTCACATCGATGTAATCTTGAATTTATTAGATATACATCAACACAATGAAGACAAATATCATTTTGACAACTGTCACATATTAATGGAATTTAACATTTAAACTTACAATTCGATGTGCAACCATCATTATCATCAGATAAATTATGATCGTCACATTATTCAAAAACATTAATATCAGGTGCTTAAACAATTATTCCATCTCCACAAATATTTTTACAATAATTTGATTCTGGAGAAAGGCCTTCTCTACATTTTAAGCATAAACCTTAATTTAAATCGCACTCTAAGCAATCTGGATAGCAATAAAATTAACAATCCTTACAGATTTTCTTAGTTGATTCGATAGCATCGTCACATTTTTCTGTTCCTACTTTTATCCCATCTCTACATTATTCTTTACAAATAAGTTAATCTGTTAAAGTATCCAGATACCAACCTGAAGTTGCACACTCATAGCATACTCCTAGTATACATTTTGTACATTATTTTTAACATTCTAATTTACAATTATAACATCTATCATTTGCTAAATTATTCATATCATCGCATTCTTCCATTTCAGTAATTATACCATCCCCACAATTGCAGTTAGTATAATTTGAATTACAAGGATCACATAAAGTATTTATAGGACAGTCTAAAAATTTAGCAAGACTACTAACATAATATTGATTAGCAGGTCTTTCACAAATAAGACTGTTGCTATTGTAGCTAAATCCTTTAATACAATCTTGGCAATCATTTTCTGATGTGCATTTATTACAAAATTAAAGGCATTTTAAACAATTTTAATTATCATCATAATAGCCTTCTTTACAAATGCATTAATTATTAGTTAATATTCGAAATTTTAAAAAATCACATTAGGTGCAAATTACATCATTAATACATCTATCGCAGTTTTAAGAGCATTATATACATTGTTGTTGATTTTTATCAAAATATTAATTAGGAGAACAAACACATCCTTAAATCGGGTTAATGAACCCTTCCTTGCAGGTTAAACAATTTTATAAAGATGTGCAAGTTTAGCAATTATTTGGACATTTTTAACATTAATCTAAATGCCAATCATAATATTCATTAATCTATTAGCATGTGGAAGATAGTACTGTACTAGGATTTTAGCAATCTATTTCATTTGTACAAGCTTGACAACCAGTCCTACAATAATGAACAGTAATATAAAACTGATAAAATCCACAAAAAGCTTCAATAGGTTCATTATTAAGACCTTAACATTCCCAATCTAATTTGAGAGTAGTTAAAGAATGTTAGTGCTATTTGAATATTTTATTTGATGGACTAGATTTTGTTAATTCTGTCATATGAGTATCGTCAATCCAAAAAATAAATTTACCATTATCTTGGAATGAAGGGCCAAAAACAACAATAAAAGCTATAGATAGACTATGATGAGGATCAAGAATATTGAATTATCTTGAAAATCTAGCCTAGGCCCATATATAAGGCCCTCCAAAGATTCTCTAGTATTTATTCAAAATTGAATAATAGATATTAGCTCCTTTTAGAAAATTTAAACCTGTTTAACTAATTACTAAATACTCAGAATAAGTAACAGGATTAATTTCTAATCCAATAAATTCTTTTATTAATAGTCTGGAATCTAAAACTAATTAAAATTAGAATACATTTTGTTGCATCAGTAGTATCGAAATCTTAGCAATGAGTATCATTAATTTTAATTTAAAAATTACTTGTGCATTGAACACATTGGTTCCATTTTGAAATGTAATAATTTGTATTGCACTTAGTACATTTGAATTTTTCACTGCATGTTTAACACTAAGAGGGACAATACCCTGATGAAATCTCAATACTCCGAATAGCCCATCCTGCGTTAATATCTCTAAAAATACAATATAATTGTACGTATAATTGCCTATTAATTTAAGAATGAATTATTTTGTTATGTTTGCTTATAGATAAATTTGATATTATTGATTATTCTAATAAACTTATGTACTCTCATAGTAATTTGGCTTATTGAAATTCGCATATAAAATAAAATTATCTGTTTATACACTTGTATTATTTTTATATATTTTCCCATAATAAGTGTTATTAATATGTAATTCAATACTACTTTCAAGTGGCATTTCATTAAATAGTATTAATTATATATATATTAAAGTTAAGTTATAAGGATTATTAATGTTTAAAATTCTATAAATCCCTTAACTCTTTTTAAATAATCCAAGTAAATAATAATTATCAAAGTAGAAATTTTAAGGAATAGGAAGTCTAAGATCAGTAAAATCATACAATATTTACCAGTTATATTGTTCAGTAGTTTTAAATTCATATAAACCAAACCAGTAGTAAATTAATCCTTTTTATAGATATCAATTTTACTATTATATGTTTCACAATAACCATTTACAAACAATAATGAGTCTAAAGGACAAATAGTTCTGCATCCCTGATATTTTACAAAATATGGAGTCTCTGGTGGACATTTATTCGAACAAGTGTTATCTTGTTAAATTGTATTATAAAAACACTCAGTACATTGGTTTGGTAAATCACCCCAGCATTTTTTACAATTAGGATGGCATTTAAGAGTTTAATAGATGAAATTCTTGATAGATACATTACCCGTTAAAGTATATGCATTAAATTAATGAATTCCTTTAATCAAAGTTTAATTAATTGTAAAATTAACTGTCTATATAAATGCATGTGTCGAATCGCAAAATCCCTTCCATATATCAACTTTTTGTATGGAATTATTATAAATCCAAGCATATTTTTAATTATCGATTGAATAAGTCAAATTATCTAGTTCATTCCAAAAACCAAAAAATATGAGATCAAATGTTATAAAAAATATTTAACCATAAAACTCTTATGATTTATAATATTAAACTTATGATGAATAGTTGTTAAGTGTTATGTAGCTTCCTTATTCAATACAATTTATAAAGTTTGCAGTTGTTTAACTTGATTCTTTCATTTCAATAAAACCATCAGAATACTAATAGCAATCTTTAGTGTTAGAAAAAGTAAAATTTGTAATTTATGTTAGGTATGATGTAATAGAAGTCCATTCACATTTTGACAAATGAAAAAATAGTAGAATGACATTGATCAATAAAATCATTATTTAAATTTTAATAAATTTTGGTATTCCTTCTTCATTTTTATATGCTAATATCATTTAGCATAAGCTTAAAACTTAGTGTTAAAAAAGTTTTAAACAATATATCATCTCTCCTCTTAATTTATATTATTTTTAAGAGAGAAGATTTATCATCATCCACTAGAAATATTAATTGTATCACTCAAAATAAATCATTTATTTTAATAATACATCATACATGATATGCAGTGATCTATTAAAAATTGTATAAATATATCAATAAGAGTATATATGCTAGAATTTATATTAATTATTACAAATCTTATGAGAAAGATTATTAAGTTATTTAAAATGAGAAAAATATATAAAATTATGACATTTTAATTTGAACATTGTTTATATATTGTTATTAAAAGGAAGGACCTATTAGTGGAACTATGGATTACCATTTTTGCAATTTAGTATTTAAATCTAATATCAATACCAATTAGGTGATCGATTAGATTTAAATTTTCTCAAGGAATAACTATAAAAATGGTTTCTTTTCAAATTAGAAGATAATTGGATCTTATTTTTACAGGTAATTTGAAAGATTTCGATAATTAAATAATTCCTGGATTAGTTTTGCAAATGATGAGTAATTTTATTCTTATAAACAAAAAAAATTTTATCAAATAGTATATAATGAGTTTAAAAGAAATTACTTTATTTTTCTTTTTAATTCATATAATTAGATATAAATAGAATAAAAATGGAGCAACATTTTGCCATATCACCTTATCCATGATTTTCAAAAATAATAATATAGATATTTATTTTACAAAGTGCAAAGACTAATTAAGAAATTTAGATATATTAATATTTAATTTAATGTCTGTTAAAATTTGTTTGTAAATGCCTTCAAAATTTGGAGATAAAACTTGATTTTTCTTTAATTAAGCCAATATAAGCAATAATAAACGTTTGATCTCATGAAGTTCAGTTGAAAAATGACATTTGTATTAAATATGAATAGAAAGCATTTCAAACACGTTGGCTCTTTGAATTTATTTTATTTTGAGCATGAAAATTCTAATTTTATAATATACACTATAATATAATTGTTATTTATAATATGATAATAAAAAATAATTTAAAAAACAAACAAGAAAATTAGATATTTGGAAAAATACTTACAATAAAAATAGAAATAATGATAGATGAAAATTAAGTGAAAATATTGTTTTATTGAGAAAAAGATTAATAATAATATATATACAAATAATGTTTATATAATATAACTAATTGTTAAAAGTTAGATAAATACTAGAATATTAATTGATTAAAAAAAGAAAGAAAGAAGACACAAAAATGGATTATAAACTATTTATTGTTATTTGGATATTTTATTAATTGACAATTATTGAACAACTCTAAATTGATAATTTAGATTGTTATCATAAATTTAATACATATTTATAAATAAGGAGAGAAACCCTCTCTATTCTATCATCAGGCTTTGATATATAAAAAAATTTATATATAATTTTGAATTTAATCCAATAATAATTTGACTTATTTTTATCATAAGGAAATATCCTTAAAATGTCAACTCAAAAGAGTTATTCCTTCTTTTACATGTTATACAATCTAAGTATAATAATTAGAAAATCTTGTTGATATTAAAGAGATTTTAATCAAATAAAATAAAATTTCAAAATCACCATTTAATAATTAAAGATTTGACAACGATAACACTATATAAATGATTATATCTTGTATATTATCCCAATAATATTTTTATGATAATTATAAATAATTGGTTGAATATCATAATTTCAAACAAGTAAACATCAGTCTTCTATATGGATTTAATAAGTGAAATCACTTTTTATTCAGTAGTTTGTACATCAAATATTACTAAATTGCCTTTTAAAAAATATAATCAAATTTTATTGAATCAGTCATCATCGTTAAGAGGAGGTGGATGCTGTTCAACAAACTCAGTTATGCCTGAAACAAAAAGATTTAACTAATTCCCATAAAGTTTTGCCACTAATCTAAAATTTCAAACAACTGTGATAGTAGAAAAGGCTTCATAATTTAATGATAAATACCATTAAGATGATGTTCTTTGTGCAATTATCTGGTTTTAGAGTCACAAAGAACATATTTAAAAACTTTGCATGAATGAAACTTTAAATTTATAACACTATGATCTTATTGAGCGTACTTTTGAGAGTTTAATAAAGCAATTAGTGATATACTTAAAATTATCTGGATATATATTTTATACATTACTTTAAATATGTAATGATTTACTTCGAGTTATATTTTATTATTAACAAATAAATGAAGATAGATATATGTAGGAAGTCCTATAATAAAAATTAAAAGAATATATTTCAGAAATAGAAGAATAAATATCGGTTGAATCGACAAAAATATGGCTTACAGGAACGGATTTTGAGCTTTAGATGATAAAAATTTGTATTGCACATTTACGAACTAATTCAGAAACAGGCACAAACTTAATAAAAGCAGTATTATTTGGAATAGCTTCTTCTATATCATAATTAAAACCTAGTGAAGAACTTTTAGATGCTCTAATGGAAGCAGGAAAATATCTATTGCTCAATTTTTATGACAAGTAAATTAAGAATCCTTTGAAAATATATGAGCTTTATTATTTTTTTGAAAATTTGAAATGGTCAATAATTTTCTAATTAAAAGAAGGCTTTTCAGTTAAACAAACAATAAATTAGCTTACAGATGGATATAATAAATATATTGGAGCTTCATCAAATTGGTTAATTCATTTTTGTTGGATTAATTTAATCTCAGGTTTAATGTCATATAGGCCAATAATTTATAGAGGTGAAGTTGAATAGATGTTGAATCAAAAACATCATATTAGCTGGAATTAATTGATTGTTTCTAATTAAATTGTTTTAATGCCTTATGATAAGACTAAAGGAAAAGTAAAATATTCTGGGAGAGGGACATTTATTATTCAAGAATTTTAAAATTTAAAATTATTTTAGGAGTACTTGTTAGATGAATAAGTCAATTCTATAAAATTATTATCATAGTATTTAAATTTTGATTTTAGTTCATAATAGCAAAGCTAAATCAATTTACAAGATTTAACATTTAGTTTATTCACAAATATTGATGATTTGGAAATTCTTTCGTCATTAAATATTGCTTTATAAAATTGCCACACAACAATCAAGGAAAATTTGAATTAGATAGATAATTAAACTTCTAAAAATGAAGTAATCTCAATGTAAAATAAAACTGAAATAAAAATTTATAAACAAGATATTCAATACATTATTAATCAATAAAAAGACTCATTTTTGTAACTACTATATATATTCTATGAGATGGATATTATTAGAATTAAGGAAACTGAAATAATAAATAATATTGAATAAATTTTTAGATTAAATGAGAAGAATCTAGGACTATTAAAGGATAAAACTTATATAGAATAGATGCCAAATTTAAATGAAATAAGAGTTGAGGCTGAAAATAGATTTTTAAAGTAAATGCAAAAGCTACCCAATTTAATAGTTTAATTTACTCAAATTTTAATCTCTTATGAGGATATAATTTTAGATGAAAATAATGGAAAAGTTGTTTCAACGACCTAATTAAAATAGACATTAATAAAGTATTAATAAGAATTGGAAATTTTTATGTAAGTCATTAATGATTTCTTAATCAATTTCATTTGTAACATAAAAAAAATAAAAAATAATATCAAATAAATTAATTCCTAGATATCCCTTACAATTCCTTAAGAGTGGGTTTCACAAAAAGATATATCAGAATAATTAATTCAATTTTATAACTCTGCCTTAATTAAAAATTTATCGAATTAAATTCTTTAGGTTTATTCGACTGACTGGGTAGAAAAAAATTGGGAATTTAATAATCTTAACGAATTTGGAAAAAATATTAAAAGATGCAATTAAATAGCATTAATTTTTAAATTTTACAAAAAATTATTAAGAATTTAATAACAAAAAATAAATGTGTTGCAATATGAAGATAATATTGCAAAATAGTATTTTAAAAATTAAAATTAGCATACTAATTTCTTGGAAAACGAGAGCATAGCTACAGATTAAATTAAAAGCTTAGTTCTTGAAAGAAAAGTTATGATACAAGAATACTTTGATAAATATCCTAATTTAATACTCAATAAGTAAGAACTAAATGAAATAAATATAATAGAAGATAAAATTAGAGAAGATATAATCTCATTATAATAGAAGTAATGGAATCAAGAATTAAAGTTATAAAGTATTATGATTTTATAAGATGCCTTAAACAAATTATCATAATTAGGATTGAATAAAGTCAATAAATCAACTTTAAAAGAAGAAATAAACTTAAATTTTACTAAATCTCTTTCAAATTTAAATAAAAAAATATATGGAGATGATCAAAAAGCTGAATAGACAGAATTGCTTCCAAAAAACACAATTAATGATTTAGATTCTTAAATTTTCTTTAATTTTGAAAGCTCTATTACTTAAATAATCGCTGTGATAATAAATACAAAAAGACTAAGAAGAATCATATAATAAAATTATAATTTGTTTAATTGGAGTTCTGAAATTTGGGGGTCTGAAAAAAAAGATGAATTTTAATAAAGTATTAAGAATTTAATAACTGAATTACTTCATATTATTTAGGACAGTTGTTTTTCTATCTAAAAAGAATAGCAAATTGTTTTAAATTAGGATAATATTTAGCATTTATCAAATCAAAAATGTATTGACAAAATGAAAATTAATTTAATTCTCCTTAATAGTAATTCAATATATAAAATATAATCATAAAATGGAAATACAGAAATTAAATATTGTTTAATATACTAAGAGTTGGTAAAAAGTTTAAAAGATTTTACTACATTAGATACATAAAAAACTAATATTTTATCTGAGATTTTTGGGAATTCTTCTCATAAAGTAAGAGAGGCATTGGCATTTAATGTTATAAAAATTGATGCTTTAATTTAAGAAACCAAAATCAAAGAGTTTTGTTAAAATTTATTACAAAAGTTATGGATTTATGAAAAACATGGTGATGTTAGAAATATACTTAAAAATAAGGAAATGATAGAAATGTAGAAATAATTATTTTCAAATGATCTCACTACAATGACAAATTAAATCAAAGGTGAAATGAAAAATTTGCTTAATAGAATTGAATAACTTGAAAATTCTGTATTAACTGATAATTCAATTCAATCAAAAGAATAATTACAATAAGCCTTAGATGATTTTGAAATTTATTTTGATAATATCACAGATATGTCTCAAAAATTAGATATTAGTATGATATTCTTGAAAGAATTAAGTAAAGATATAAAGCATATCAAAAGCTCAATAGATTAAATTATGCAAAATGTAAGTGATATAGCCAATGATGTTCGAAGACTTAGAGGAAAGAATTTTGTTGAATTACTACTTATTAGGAAAGAATAAATATTAAAATAGAAGGATGAGAATGAATTAGATTAAATACATATTGAAATCTAAACTTAAGAATATGATCCAGTATCAGGAAATAAAAAATAATCTTAAAATTAAGATAAAACTTCTTATCTTTTAAAAAGAATCTATAATGATTTTGAGGGAGAAGTAAATGAATTTTTATGGGATGAAAATGAAAAAATTAAAGATGTAATGCTTTTAAAAGGAAAAGCAGGTTCAGGAAAAAGCAGAGCTGCTAAAAATATAGAAGAATTATTATGGAGTTGCGATTAACTAGAACCAAAATGGATTCCAATTTATGTTTCTTTACCATCTATTAAAGATCCAAGACATAATTTAATTGATTAAGCGTTGGAATCATAAAATTATAACTTTGATAGCATATAAATAAGAGATTTTAAGGAGGCAGTAAAATAAAAAAATTTAAGTATTGTTTTAATTCTTGAAAGTTACGATGAGATGAAGTAAGATTGTTTAGAATAAAATCTATACAATTCAAATAGATTTGTTTAAGAATTTAATCTTACAGAATCTGGATAAAATTTTAAAATTATTATAACTTCTAGACAAGAAATATTAAATTCAATTGATTATCAAACTTGGTTTTATGGAAAAAGTATAAGTACTCTTAAAGAAGTTGAATTACTACCCTTTAATTCTGATTAAAGTAATGAATATTTAACATAATATTCTAAAGTCAGTGTAAAAAGAGCAATAAAAAGATTTTATGAATTTCTAAAGTAATTAAAAGCTTAAAGTTTTTCATTTAATGAATTTAAAATAATTTGGAGTTAAATTGAAGAAACAGTAAAAAAGATTTTGTTACAAAATTAAAATGAATAACTATTATTCTAGCCAAAAGACACAGAAAAAATTATTTTAAAGATGTTATAAATATAGTTTTTTTAGTTATTCAAAGCTGATTAAATGATATCATTAAATAAAGATTTACTTTAATTATGGGGTTATTAAAAATTTACTCAAACAATCAAAAAAGTTAAAATATAAAATCTATTAAATACACCTTTTATGCTTGAAATTATTGTTTATGTATTGCCTAAAATGTCATCTTTTTTCTCTTAAGCTACTTTTATGAGATAAGTCTTGAAGTAAAACTATCTTAAATTGAAACAAGAAGCTATAAAGTCAAATTAGTTACTTAAAAAATATTCGCAAATTAATTAAAATTAAAATGAACAAGATTAGAAAATATTAACTGATGACATATAATTGCTTAAACTTTGTGAATATATCTTAAATGAGTTAGATAATTAAAATTTTTTTGAATAAAACTCTATTGCTCATTAATTTACTTATAAAGACAATGATATAATGAATGAGCTCAAAGTTAGTTTTACAGTAGAATTTGATGCAAATTTTGTGGTTGCAGCATTTTAATTACATCAATTTACTGCATTTGATTTTTATAAGTAATTTGTTGACTTTTATCATGCTTCACAAATATAAAAATGGAAAGAATTAGGAAAAAATATCAATTGGTAGAGTTTTTTGATTGATCTTTAATATTTTTGTACTTACTTAGCTATTGAAATGACTCTGAGTGAATTAACTTAAGTTAATTATAAATAGAAGGGAAAATTAAAATTACTATCTGAAAAGGATGATCAGTAGGATATATCTTGGGAAGATCATTATTTTAATGAAAATGAATAAGATTCAGAATATAAAAATTTATTACGAAAATGTATGTTGATTAATTCAAAAGGTAATTTATTTTCATTTAATCATAAATCTATTTAAGAGTTCTTTGTTGCAGATTATATATTTAATTTATTTGAAAGAATATTTGCAACAGATAAAAATATAGATGAAATTTTATTGAAAAAGAGTCTTTTTACTAAAAGAAATAAATTTAATTTATCATTAGAACATTTTCAAGGTTGTTTAGAACTCCTTAAACCTAAAATCTACTAGTTTGTAAACTTTAAAGAAAAATTGATAGAAATAGTTAAGTTGCAGAATAATTATCCTGATATAAGTTCTGAATTAATAAGATCATCATCTAATTCAATATTTTTATTAAGTTATTTGGGAGAATATTTAGGAGAAGAAGATTTAAATGGAATTTAGTTATCAGATACAAAACTTTGTGGAATCTCATTTTTTAAAAGTAATTTAAGTAATACAAAATTTGACAATGTTTCTATAGATTCCTGCAATTTTACATTAGGAAAAATAGAAAATGCAAATTGGAAAAATTTAATTTGTAAAGAAATACCTTCTTTGATAGGTCACAAAAAACAAATTAAATCAATTATCTTTTTAGATGATGGAGCTACTTTACTTTCTGGAGGGGAGGACGGAAAAATTATTTTATGGGATGTAGATCAAAATAAAAAACCATTAGAAAGATAAATTCAAAATTAGTAGATTTTAAATGTATCATTCTGTAAAATGAATAATACATTAATATGTTTATTTACTAATTCTATATTTATTCTAAATGCCAAAGATTTATCTGATACTATATATTAACCTTTGAAAAATTATATGTATGAAGATATTTGTAGATCATCCAATAATCAATATCTTGCAGTCTAATATTTAAAGTTAAATTTTTTTATTTTAGAAATGTAGAATCTAATAATCTCTGATAAACCCTAAAGTTTATCTTATCCAACTTCTAATCAAATAAAATGTATGGCAATTTCATTTGATTAAAAATTGTTAGCTACTGGAGGTTAAGAATTATTATTGTGGGATTATATTTCTGTTACGAATATAAAATAGATTACAAGTTTACCTACTACTCTTAAAAATGTTTCTAGTATTTTTATCTCACAAAATAGCTCAGTACTAATACTTGGTAATGGAGATGGAATTATAGAATTTTGGAAAATTTTAGATTTACAGAATTTGTAATTGCTTCAGTCAATTAACCTGGATGAGGGGATTGATAAAATTGAGATTACTAAAAATAATAAATTATTATTAATCAAAACCAAGACTNGTTTATTTTCATTTAATCACAAGTCTATTTAAGAGTTCTTTGTTGCTGATTATCTATTTAACTTATTTGAAAGAATATTTACAACAGATAAAAAGATGAATGAAGCTTTATTGCTAAAGAGTCTTTTTACTAAAAGAAATAAATTTAATTTATCATTAGAACATTTTCAAGGTTGTTTAGAACTCCTTAAACCTAAAATCTACTAGTTTGTAAACTTTAAAGAAAAATTGATAGAAATAGTTAAGTTGCAGAATAATTATCCTGATATAAGTTCTGAATTAATAAGATCATCATCTAATTCAATATTTTTATTAAGTTATTTGGGAGAATATTTAGGAGAAGAAGATTTAAATGGAATTTAGTTATCAGATACAAAACTTTGTGGAATCTCATTTTTTAAAAGTAATTTAAGTAATACAAAATTTGACAATGTTTCTATAGATTCCTGCAATTTTACATTAGGAAAAATAGAAAATGCAAATTGGAAAAATTTAATTTGTAAAGAAATACCTTCTTTGATAGGTCACAAAAAACAAATTAAATCAATTATCTTTTTAGATGATGGAGCTACTTTACTTTCTGGAGGGGAGGACGGAAAAATTATTTTATGGGATGTAGATCAAAATAAAAAACCATTAGAAAGATAAATTCAAAATTAGTAGATTTTAAATGTATCATTCTGTAAAATGAATAATACATTAATATGTTTATTTACTAATTCTATATTTATTCTAAATGCCAAAGATTTATCTGATACTATATATTAACCTTTGAAAAATTATATGTATGAAGATATTTGTAGATCATCCAATAATCAATATCTTGCAGTCTAATATTTAAAGTTAAATTTTTTTATTTTAGAAATGTAGAATCTAATAATCTCTGATAAACCCTAAAGTTTATCTTATCCAACTTCTAATCAAATAAAATGTATGGCAATTTCATTTGATTAAAAATTGTTAGCTACTGGAGGTTAAGAATTATTATTGTGGGATTATATTTCTGTTACGAATATAAAATAGATTACAAGTTTACCTACTACTCTTAAAAATGTTTCTAGTATTTTTATCTCACAAAATAGCTCAGTACTAATACTTGGTAATGGAGATGGAATTATAGAATTTTGGAAAATTTTAGATTTACAGAATTTGTAATTGCTTCAGTCAATTAACCTGGATGAGGGGATTGATAAAATTGAGATTACTAAAAATAATAAATTATTATTAATCAAAACCAAGACTAGATTATTCAGATATGATTGTTTAGGATTAATCAATGAATATGATTAAGTTATATAAATAGAATAATATGATACTGCTGCATTGATTTAATAATAATATTATTATTAAGTTGATTTGGATACTTGCATTAAAGAAATTGAAATTAGTCCCAACGACAAAATTTTAGCTTGTGTTGAAGAGAAAGATAATAAATATAAGTTGAGTATTTGGAATATTATTAAAAAAAAATGCATTACTTATATTGCCTCATTAGTAGATAATTAGGACTAGATTCTTTAATTAAAATTTTCTTTCGATAGCTAAATATTAATTTGTTGTATATTAAACTTTATATATGTTTGGGACATAAATGAATTGAAATTGATCAGGAAATTGGAAACTTAAATTGATTAAATAAAATATTTGGCAATTTCCAAAGATTTAACTTTTTTGGCTATATAAAATTCCCATTATGTAGAACTATTTGAAGAATTTTGTAATCCAAATAGCAGCTGTGTTAGTAAAACAATTGGAATAGACAAAAATTTTGAATATAAAGGGATTTTGTTTTTAAACAATAAATTAGTTATTAATACAGAAAACTTTAATTCATCTTTTTTATAATTTTGGAATGCGAAATTACTTATATAAGAATTCGAATAATTATTTAAAGTAAAATTTAATTATTTTAATTTTTGTTTTGATTAAAATCTAATGATAACTATTGGAAAATTTGGAACTGTTTGGGAGAAAAGTGAAGTGTATTATGAAGAAAAAAGATCTCTAAATTCATTTAACAAATTAAGGTGGAAAAAGATTGAATATTCTGAAAAAAAAGACTATTTGATTATTTTTGATGGAGAAAGTGTTTATTTATTCAAAGATTATTTTGATAGTGATGAAAAATCTCATGATATATAACAGAAAAAGATATACTCTTCTCCTCTCATTTAAGCAGTCTCATTTTCAAAAAATGGTAAATTATTAGCTTTTGGTTTGAAAAATGGAATTAAAATAATGTTTTTAGATTAATATTTAAAACTAAATTAGGATTCTTAATATATTAATGATTTTTCTATTTCTGATGATTCATCGTTGTTAGTCTTAGCAACAAACAGAGGAATCAGACTCAAAAATTAAGAAACAAACAAAGAAATATTTTACACTTTGGATCAAAAATATCTATTAATAAGATTTATAGAATAAAGTTAAAAGTTTGTAGCTATTGCATAATCTTTTTTATATTTATATAAACTTGACGATATCAACAACCCTATTGTTTTTCAACATTTAATATTATGTGGTAATAAAATATAAGCAATCTATAATTTAGAATAATCAAATTCAATGATGATATTATATGATAAATTTATAACTATTCATGAATTAAAAGAAAAGGGAAATAATCAATTATTAGAAATTTAGAATGAGTTTAGTATATCAAAAGATTGTTTGATATTATCTAAATCAAATTATGTAGGGATTGGTATAGATAATGATATTAGATTTATTCCTCTTTCTAATTCAATTAAGATGCATAATATATATAATGCTTTTGTATCTTAATTTTACAATATTTTATATTATAGTTTTTCTTTGAACTGTTAAGAATTTATAATCATAGGTTTGAATTATGAAGAGAAGTTACAGAGAGCAAAAATAAATTTAATTAATTTAGAAATAGAGATAAAATCTAGTGAAATTAATTTTGGATTTAATATTAATATTTATTCAAATTAGAAATAGGATAAATTACTTTTAGTTCACAAAGACAATTAGAATTATTAAAGAAAATTAGATTTAATCGATTTTGAATCATTAAAAATAATTTAATGTATAGAATAACTTAATCACAATGAATCAAGTTGTAATTATGCTATATTTTCAGAAGATAATTCATATTTTATCACTAAATATAAAGATTAAACTATAAAATTATGGGATTCAAAAACATATAAACTTTTATCAAAATTTAAAAGTGATACAACCAATTTTGATTTGATTTCTATTTCAACAAAAGAAATCTTAGCATAATCAAATAATCACATTATTAAACTTTGGAATTTGAAGGCTTTAAGATCATAATAATCAGAAATGGATGGCCATTCTGATTCAATTAATTTAATATCAATATCTCCTGATGGTTTATAATTAGTATCTGGTTCTTTGACTTAAATTATTAGATGGGAATTAACCAAATTTAAAAAAATAGATGTATTAATTAAAGGATAAGGTTTGCGCTCTATCTTTTGTTTCTCTGAAGATGCAAATTATTTTGCAGCTGTTGATAAAGATCCTTGCCTAATTATAATTTGGAAATTAAATACTTTATATTTAATTGAAAATTTCATGACAATAAGTTATTTTACTTAAGCAATAAATTTAAAATTTAAAATAGCTGATAATCATCTAATTTCATGCTATTAAATTGAATCTTAATTGTATCATATAGCTTGGGATTTGAGTAAGCCTGAATTATATTAAATTTAAAGAAAAACTTGTTACGTTGACATTCCTAAACCTGTCATGTAATTTTTAAGTGATAATAATTTAATGATATAAATTAAACCTCTTAAAATTTTTGTTTTTTTTGACCAAGAAAATTCAGAATATTTTTAATTTGATAATTCTTAATCAATATCAGATGCTAAATTAGTTACTATTACGCATGACAATCTTAAAATGGCAGTTTAAAATGAAAGTGAAATAATTATTTGGTCTTTTAAAAAATAACAAATTGAACATAGGTTTGAAAATGATATTGGATGTACATAGAATTTAGTATTTTCAGGAGATAATAAAATACTATTTACTAATTACAATGTTACTATTAGATGTTTAGACGTAACCAATTAATACAAAATTATTAAAGAGTTCAAGCTAAATAAACCTGATGAAATGGATGAATAATAATTTGATTAAGCTTAATGTTTTCCTGTTGAAAATGATAATTTTCTCATTATATATTCTTTTATTGAGCCTCTTAAAAAGATTGTAATATTAGCAACATATGTATCTGATTTTGAGTAATTTTAAATGTTGTTGGAAACAAAAACTAGTAGAGATTTTTTTAATTGTGCATATTGTGATAAAAGACAGATCTTAGCTATTCAAAATAATTTTTATTTCTCTTTATTTGATATGAAATCTAAAAAATAAATTGCAATATTAGAACCAAATTAATTTACAAATTTTAATCCTCATTTATTACGTTTTTAAAAAGATGGAAATTTATTAGTATCCATCGGTTATGATATGAGCATTATTCTATGGGATTTGTCTGATTTAAGAAAAATTAAACTTAAAGTAAACCAAAATTACCAACCAAATCAATAGGAAGTAATTAGCATATCATTTTAAGAATATGAAAATCAAGTTTATATATAAAAAATTCTCAGTAGTAATGATATAAATGCAGATAATATTTCAGATTATGTTGAATACTGTTAATTTTTGATAGAGGATATAAATTATAATTATTTAATAGAAGAGACTTCAGAGTATAAATTGCATCTTAAGGAAAACAAAATAGAAATTAAAAAATAAAAAGATGGGAAATTGATATATTGTTTAGATCAATTTAATACATAAATTAATTGTGCCACATTTACTCCATGTGGTTAAAACATTATTTTAGGAATGAAAAATGGGTCAATTTTATTTTATAGATTAGATTAAAATTAGAATTAACCAAAATGCTTTAAAAGCTTTACTTTATATCCATTAATTTTAGCAGATTCATGTAGTATCAAAGGTTCTATATTTTTTAATTAAGAAAATCGTAATTTACAAAACTTATTTCATGAAAAAGGTTCCATAACATAATGATATAAATAAATCAAATTAAACAATTTAAATTATATTTAGTTGATTTAATTTTCTTCTTCTTTATATTCTTTATATCTATTTCAATTATAATGAGATCTATCTAATATTGATTACATTTTTCTTTACACTTTCATTACAATCTAAATTTAAATGTGTAAAATGTCAATATATTTCTTTAATTATTTTTGCTAATCTTAAAATGATTCTAACTAATTTTAAGAATACAATATTAATTTGATTCATCTTTCAATAACATAATAAATGAATTAATTTACATAGATTATCAAGAATAAGAAAATATAATTACAGAAATAAAGGAGTAAATAACACAAGTAGAGAGTTTTTAAATTCAGGTTATACTCGATAATAATGAATAGTATAGTTTTATGGTTGAATTTAAGCCTTTATATTCATAATAATAAGGAAAACTATTGAATTAAACATAGAAGAATACGGTTTAGCAATGAATTAAAACAATAATCTGTTATAAATGGATTTTTTGCTAATTTTATCAATACACTTAATTGTTACAAGAAAAAATACCTCTTTTTTCCTGGATTAGATACCTTGATAAAAAAATAGTAATCTAACCTTTTATCAAATCAAAAATATATTAATGATTAGAAGTTAAAGTATTAATTGAAATTATTCATCCTTTTAAAGTAATCATCATTATTTTTGGTAGAAAATTGGGCTCAATCTTTTTTTTTATTTTAATCATCTAAATAAAGGGGAAAAACCATTTTCATAAAAAAATATCTGAGCATGATAAATATGTAGTTGTATTATTCATATATAAGGTGGTTTAAAAGTGATATCAGCAAGAAAGGTTAAATCATTTTAATTATGGCACCAAATTCTTAATCAGGGGCGGAGGATTCAAAGTGCGCTTGGATAGTTAAATAAAAATCTAGGTTGAAGCACATGGGTATCGTATGTGTTTTATAAATAGCTATTTCTTCACTTTTTAATTAAGGAGAATCTCAATTGAATTACTACATTATTTAAATGAATCATTTTTAAATAAAAGAATATCAAATTTAAATCTATCTTAAAGATTACTCTTATTTTTCCCTCATTTGTATAACAGTTAAAAGAAAATACTATTTAATAAATGCAAAAACACTTTAAATAATTTAGCATATTAGGGAATTATATAGGGATGATTAGTTCAAAAATTATGAATAACCAATCAGTTATCTTTTTAAATGAAACCCTGGATATAAGGAAAAGTGAGTGGAGATGGAAATTATTTAGGATAGTGTATAAAAATATTCAAGTAAGAAATATACAATAAAGAAATAAATATTATTTATTAATTCAAAAATTGATTTTATTTACTTCTAAATTTATTAATAAATAAATAATAATATAAAGAAAGATAATTATTGAGAATATCAAAAAATAAAAAATTAATGACTAGTATTAAGATTTTCTAATTTTGTATTTGTCCATTCAAAAATTGTTTGTAAATCTATAATTTTAATGATAAAAAAATTGAAATACTTTTGAGTAACTAATAACATGGAAGCTATTTTTCAATAGAATTTGCTTCCTTCATCTAAAAGTGGAATTAGTAGCCCATTAAAAAATCATGATTATGAATAATATTTTTAATTCATATTTTTATATTAGATTCAGATTTACGCGAATTTCTAAAAATAAAATAATTAATTCATAGCCTTTTGGGTATCTCAAACATATTTATAACATGAACCCATAAATACATTGTAAATTTTTTTTTTAAATATTGTTAAATCTACAATTAAAAGGAATCAAATCAGAGAAAACAAAATTTGACCATTTAATTCTCGAAGTGAATAAAAGCAATTTTTGAAATATTTAGTTTAAATCTACATGATTACATTATTGTATAATTAATTTGTAATATTAAATTTAAGCATTGAATATGAAGATATATATATTAATTGTAATTATTGTTAATTAATAAATAGGTTTGACGTCATCATCTCATTATTATTATTAATCAATAAAATAATTGCCATCTTATTTTTCTATGGATTGCAAATTTGAGATGATATAAATTATACAAATAATGTGATTCTGCTTGGGCTAAAAATCAAGAAGGAACAAATGCAAATACAATTCGGAGCAGGATATTTAATTTTATTTACCACTATGATGTTACATACTTATGGTGTAGTAACAGATGGTACAAACAACTCCAAAATAAAAAAAGTATGGAGGGTATGCTTCTGGTGATTTTTTTGTTTGGGCCAAGAGTTGAGCAGACCATTAATATTAAGTCATCCTAATTCAGAAGATCATCTCTTTTCAAGATATTATCTTTACTTTTTGATTTCGCCTACCCAAGTCTTATAATCAATAAGAAAATAATAAGATTTTAAAGAATATATTTAAAATTTAGAATTTCTCTAACATCATCAATTGGTTATAGATTGATTATATGAATTACTATTTAGTGCATTTTTGTGAGATTTCTCTGTTTATAACTATAAAGAATAATAGTTTTAATTAGAACTGCTAATCCAATATGCAATTATTAAAAATATCAATTCCTGATCAAGATTTTGTTCAAACATATTCCTATCTCTTAATATTGAGATAAAAATTCACAAAAGCTTAATGCCTATATTTATGATAAACAAGAAAAATGAGTAATCAATTATAGAAATCAAATTAAATTATATAATTAACATTATTTATATAAAAATTAGTTATTCTATATTCTTAAAGAATCAAGCAATGTGCCTCTAGAATTGAATTCTGCATAACATTTTTACCTCCAATACAATAGTATTGGCTTCTAATTTTAAAAAATATAGAAGATATATTTTTTTATTGGTAGTATAAAACTTAAATTAAGGATAATAGACATTCAATATTAAAAAAAGAAAAGAAATTGAATAGATCAACAAGTAGATCTAACTTAAAATTTTTTCAGGTTAAGGGATGGAGATGATGATGTTTTAATTGAAATTTTGATAGGAGAAAACTTAAGACAATATAGGATACCTTTCATAGAACGGAAATTAAAAACATCACTAATACTATATTTCTTCGTTGAAATACCCTCCTTAATTTGTTGTAGAAGTTAGAGTTGCAACTAATAACCTGAAACAAATTACTGATGTCTTATAGCAGATCATGATTTCAATAACAAAGACTATTCCTCTGAAGAAAATTAAAAATCTATAAATGATTTAATAGAAACCATAAAGGATGATAGATAGATCATAGAACTTTTGTAATTTTTAGTTTACCTCACATCCATAAATAACTCTTTAATTTAATGTGGGTCAAATTCATTACATTTATTAGTTTAGATGAAGGGGAATCTGAGAAACAAAAATTTTGAAAATATTAAGATCCNTACAAACAACTCCAAAATAAAAAAAGTATGGAGGGTATGCTTCTGGTGATTTTTTTGTTTGGGCCAAGAGTTGAGCAGACCATTAATATTAAGTCATCCTAATTCAGAAGATCATCTCTTTTCAAGATATTATCTTTACTTTTTGATTTCGCCTACCCAAGTCTTATAATCAATAAGAAAATAATAAGATTTTAAAGAATATATTTAAAATTTAGAATTTCTCTAACATCATCAATTGGTTATAGATTGATTATATGAATTACTATTTAGTGCATTTTTGTGAGATTTCTCTGTTTATAACTATAAAGAATAATAGTTTTAATTAGAACTGCTAATCCAATATGCAATTATTAAAAATATCAATTCCTGATCAAGATTTTGTTCAAACATATTCCTATCTCTTAATATTGAGATAAAAATTCACAAAAGCTTAATGCCTATATTTATGATAAACAAGAAAAATGAGTAATCAATTATAGAAATCAAATTAAATTATATAATTAACATTATTTATATAAAAATTAGTTATTCTATATTCTTAAAGAATCAAGCAATGTGCCTCTAGAATTGAATTCTGCATAACATTTTTACCTCCAATACAATAGTATTGGCTTCTAATTTTAAAAAATATAGAAGATATATTTTTTTATTGGTAGTATAAAACTTAAATTAAGGATAATAGACATTCAATATTAAAAAAAGAAAAGAAATTGAATAGATCAACAAGTAGATCTAACTTAAAATTTTTTCAGGTTAAGGGATGGAGATGATGATGTTTTAATTGAAATTTTGATAGGAGAAAACTTAAGACAATATAGGATACCTTTCATAGAACGGAAATTAAAAACATCACTAATACTATATTTCTTCGTTGAAATACCCTCCTTAATTTGTTGTAGAAGTTAGAGTTGCAACTAATAACCTGAAACAAATTACTGATGTCTTATAGCAGATCATGATTTCAATAACAAAGACTATTCCTCTGAAGAAAATTAAAAATCTATAAATGATTTAATAGAAACCATAAAGGATGATAGATAGATCATAGAACTTTTGTAATTTTTAGTTTACCTCACATCCATAAATAACTCTTTAATTTAATGTGGGTCAAATTCATTACATTTATTAGTTTAGATGAAGGGGAATCTGAGAAACAAAAATTTTGAAAATATTAAGATCCAAAATACTTCTTTGGTCGGAACTAATTTTTCTTATATGAGCTGAAGTGGATCAGAATTTGATAATGAGATTAAAACGGATTAAATTTGAAAAGAGCATTATTATTTAATTGTAAATGGAACAACTTAAGAATCCATTAATTAAATACATTAGAAGTTCATAGTGATTTTCTATTATTTTCTTGCGATCCAGATAAATCTACCCTAACAATAAAAATCTAAATTAAATAGTCATAATAGTTGAATTTATTGAGTATGCTTCTCACCTGATAGTAATAAATTCATCATCATCTTGATTTAGAGATTAAAATGGGATGCTAAGAATAGAGTAGTATATTGAATAAACATAACTATTGTGTCCATTTAATTTAGATTTTTATCGTCTCAAGATTTTAGTATTACATTAGAATCTATTAGTCGATCATTTAAGGGATTTTAAAATAGAACAACTAAAACTAAATTAGAAATTTATCTAGTCACTACTAAATCTTTATCCTCAAACATTTTGTTAATTAAAAAAAATAGCATGAAGCAATTTATAAATAAATATTTATAAATTATATATTCTAATTTTAATTATGTATTTAAAAACAGATGTAGTTTAATATTTTGGAAATTTTTAGGGTATGATCAGAAATAAAGGATTATTGAGATTTTTGAGGTACCATTATGATTAGGAGTTACTATGAGATAGCAGGGATTAAATGGAGAACCTTAAATTTGGAATTACATAAATCTAATCCCATCATAAACCTTCTCAGTAAATTATCTAGAATATTTAACATTAATACAAGTTAACTCATTATTCACTCCTGAAGAAGAGACTATATCAATAGATAGATTAAAAATCTTCTTTTATTTGGAAAAATAGTTTAATAAGGAAAGGCTAGCAGACACATCCTTGAAAGAGGGATGATTCAAAATGATTAATGCCTGAGAAAGAAATGATAAAAAGATTCTAAAAAATAGTATCATAGAAAAAATTGAATCGAAGTATGATGGAAGTTGAAAATTTTAGGAGGAGTTCACTTGAAAAAACAATACTACTCCATAATGAAATGAAATTAAGGACTTGTTTTATACTACAACCAATATTGAGGCTATATCATTCTTTATCATGTTATTCATCTGAAAATAAATTGTGCTACTATCAAATGTTTCATAATTTATTTCCTAAATAAGAAAATACTCTTACCTTCAAAAAAAAATATGGAATTGTCTTATTGGTATCATTTTATTGAAAGCTAAGGCTAAGAAAAAAATATGCTACAATTTGAAATTCCTTTAAAATATTTTAGCTAAGAATGTATAACAATATAAAAAGTATAAGACACAGGTATTTGAAATTTGCTGAAGTTTATAATCCTTTAATGGAATTGGAATGGTTAACCTTAGTTGAATAATGATAAATCTTTGTAGAAGGGTTATTTCAAACAATCTCTTATCAAACAACAGAACATCAAAAAAATTAGATATTGAAGTTTAACAGCTTGATTTCGGCATCTAAATAGTAAATAAGTAATTTTTGTAATTATACTTGAGATAATACTTCTAAAATAGATTATAAAAATACTAAGAACTTTATTGCAATTTAGAAAGATTCTAAATTAGAATGTATTAACCTCGCCTAAAGAAAAAAAAATACATCTATGATTTAAGGCAGAACTTAGAATTCAACTAAAGAAATTGAAAAAATCATTCAATAATATATTATTTTTTTCTATTTTCTTTGTGAATTTTTTTCTAAAATTGATTTTACTTTATGATTTATTATTTTTATAATAATATAAAATAAGCTTAATTAATATTTGGTGATCTTTACTTCATATTATTATAAATAAAAAAAAAAATAAATGTAAGTCTGTTAATTTTGATAAGTATGAATAAGATGATTTAAAAGAATTAAATCAAATTTGAAATAATTAAAAAATTTTCTATAAATTGAAATAGAAAAATAGATTTAAGAATTTATTATTATTATGATTTTATTGGATATTGATTTTTAATTCATAATTGACTTGATAACAATTTATCGTATTTCTTTATTTTTTATTTAAAGATTTATTTCTCTATTTCATCAATCATTTCTATTTCTACAGCTTGAATTAAAGCTTTTGCAAATAGTTTTTCCTGAGAGTTTTATTTCAAATTTTCTAATTCCTAAAGACTGCTATTCATAGCTTATTCCATAATCTAAATCATCTTATTAAGATATTTTTCTTAGATCAAGTAATTATTAAACTTATTCATAAATTGATTTGAAACGGTGATTCCATCATTATTAATCATTTATTCATTTTTCATATGGTTAATAGCATTTTTCACCAATAATTTTGGTTCAAAATTAGCTATTTATTTTAACTCTTCGCATTATTATTCAATTTATTCTATTTAATATTGACTCGCATTCTGAATTTTGCTTGTTTGTAACTTAAATATCTCTATATGATTATTGAAATGGTCTTTGTACTGGTTCTCAAAAATTATTTCTATTGGTTCCACTCTAAAAATTTTTTATTCATCTCCTAATTTATTGCATATTTCCATGAGTTTTGGTCTGATTACTTTCTAATAAAATTTATTCATTGATTATTAATCTGATATTTTTACATTATTACATTCATCCTAAATATCTTTATCATTTATATCGAAGGTTGAATTTAAATATTTTTAAATATTGGTATTGTTAATCTCTTTCTCCACTTACTTGGGATTGCAAAATTTTTCAAAATACAAATCTAATGTTACTATTTTTTTTTAAAGTTCACTGTCTTTCAAATAAATTATTTTGAAAATTTCAGAAAATTTCTAAATTTCATTATTTAGTTATTTTTCATATTATTAATATTAATGAATTTTGCTTTGTATTCCATCAAATTTTTTATTTCCTTGAGTCTAACAAATTTCTTCTACTTCTTTTTTTAAATTTTTTTCTGATTTGCTACTTTTACTTTTAGCTATCTATAATCTTAAATATTTTTTTGCTAATTCGCAAAAACTATTTCGAAAACCATTAACTGTTCCTTTAGATTATTAAAAACATTAATTAACTAAATCGTACAGATTAGATGCTGTACTTTCAGATATAGCTCCATTTCTGACTTAATCTCCTAAAACTTCGGTTGCTAAATTTAATATTTGATTATTATTCTATGTTTATAAAGCAGTTTATTATATCATTTATAAAGTTTGATGCTAATTTTAGATATTTACTTTATCTAAATCACTTAACCAAAAACCTGCTTTTTTTAATCCATCCACTGTTACAGCTGGGATTTATTTCAAAAATTCAGTAATGTCAATTTATTTTATTGATTAAAACCCTTTGCCTCCTATTTAGAGAGCTTCCTTAATTCCAGAAGGTCCTGCTAATATTAATGCTGAAGCAACATTAATCATTTTGTTTTTTCCCCAAGCTCCCCAATCAATATCTAATCCTTTCCAAGCTGCTGTGACAGAATAGACCATATCTGAAATTCCTCCAGTTATAAAACTTTTTGCTATAGGTATCGCAGCTCCACAAGATATTGCGCTCATTGCACATCCAAAAACAAACTGAACTGCTCCAATTACAAACATGGCTAGATATTGCCACCACTTTTTTTTCTTTTTTTCTTTTTTTCTTTTTATAACTTTTCCTAGCTTAGGTAATGGTCCATCAATAATCACTTCTTCTTTATCTTTAGATGAATTCTTTTCATCAGATGGATCCTTATCATCACCTTCTTTCTTTTATTTATTGTGATGAGTAGGGGTCCAAATTACATTAATAATTTCTTATTCCTGATCAAATTGTTTTAATGTATTTAAAGTCTCATTAATATTTTTAATAAGTCTTTTGTAAACTTCAATATGATTCTTGGTTTTTGAATCTCTATTATTTTATTTCTTTTTATTATTTTCATTTTCTTCTTTTATATTTTGATCATCAAAAGTATCATTACGTTTATTAGGAATATGATTACGTTGATTAGGTATATGGTTATGTTGATTAGGTATATGATTATGTTGATTAGGTATATGATTATGTTGATGAGAGTCTTCTTAGTTAATCTATTGAGGTTTCTATTATTTTTAATCTGGATATGAGTATTATGAAAAAGGATTATTATCAAAATCAAGTTATGGCAACATTTAATTTTATTTTTCTTTCTAAAATTGTTAATTTTCTTTAAGATCTTTTGAAAATTATTCTATATATAATCTATTTAAATCAAATGTTGTTTAAAATCCTTATTCATCATCAATTTTATTTTGAAATAGTTATTTTGCTTTCAATAATGATTCCATTCCTTTTTTAAATTCTTACTGTTTTATTTCATATAATCCTTTATAATAATATGCAGAAGGATCGTTATCTTAAATTTGAATAGCCTTCTTAAACATATTAAGATTTTCTTTTTCCAATCCTTGTAAAATCAAATACTTTGGATTTTCGACATCATTTTCTTTCAACATTTTCTCAATTTCATTTTCATTTAATCCAGTCTCTTGATGTTATTCCAAATAAAGGCCCCATTTTTCTTCCAAAGCTTAGAAAGCTGCATAATTGTCCTTGAAACTAACCATGCCTTTTGCAATTTCGCAAAACTTTTCAAAGCATCTATCCTCATTTTCTAATCTTTTCATATCCAATTCTATTTCATCTGAGTAAAATTGTTCATTAAAATTTCTTAAATATACAAGGAGATCTAATTTTGTATAGGCTGAATTAACTTATTAAACATAAAAAGCAATAACATCTTCAATAGTATCTAATTATAATTAACCAATATAAAGATTTTCCTCCAAATTAACTATAAGTTAAGCAGTACCTTTTTTACCTTGCCTACCTGTTCTACCAAAACCTTATTGTTGAATTCTAATATTTCTAGGTAAAAATGACATTATCACATGCAGACCTCCATTATTTTCTAACTCTTAGTTCGTAATAAGATCTGTTCCTCTTCCAGCCAAATTAGTAGCAATTATAAGAGAATTAGGCTTTATCTCATGATCTATTTTTTAGCTGTCATCATAATAAACTACAGATTTTAGATTATTTTTTTGTAGATGTTATTAAATATTATTGACGTCTTAAATTGTCCGATTAATAATAAGAACTGCTCTCTTTTTGTTCATTTATTTTTAAACAGCCTATAGAATAGCATCTTTCCATTCATTTTCATTTGGGGCTGCTTATCCTAGCTCTTCTTTTAATTGTCTCTTTTTGTAAGGAGGCATGAAAACAAAGTCTACATTGTACTACTTTGCCAATAGATTTTATGTAACCTATGAACCTAATGTACCTGTCAACCCTAAAATTTTATTCTAGTATCTTTTAAAAAAAGTAACATTCGATATATAATTTGTGTTAATTGATAATGGACTAATTGGAAGATTATGCTTTAATTATACAAATTGATGTAATCCTTTTTCCCATATCATATTATTTCCATGAATAACTCCTGTGTTCTAATAATCAATTATTCTAACATTGTTATTTTCTATTTTGTAATGGTAATCTTAATGGAGATTATATTTTGCATGAATGGCATTTTCAATCCAAGTTTTCTTCATAAACTCTATATAGTTTAATCTGTATTTTGGGATAAATTAGTTTAATACATTTTTTAACTAGATATTCAAAGTAGATTCTATATATTCTTTCAAATCAACACTATAATAATTTTCATCATCAATAATCATAACTTTTTATTCTGTTGATAAGTTTTGTTCTGTCTTACATATTTCATCCCAGATTAATCTGAGTACTTTATTTAAATCAAGCATTCCTGGCACAGGAGAACTTAATAATGTCTTATTACTATTTCCATCAATAAGCATAGAATCAACTTCATCAACAATAATATATTCTTTTTTTCTATCACCCATAGTTCCTCTTTCTGAATATTCATGTCTTAAAATATCAGCTTAAAAACTATGAGGATCTCCATAAATTACTTTGGAATTATAACATGGTAGCATTCCTTATGGAACTTTCTTTGATCCACCAATATTATGAGATACAGAAACTTAAAATTTTTTATAAAATTCTTCCAATTATTCGGCATCTCTAGTTGCCAAAACAGGAGAGCTAGTTACTACATCAACATTAGAATTTTTCTTTTAACTCAACAGAATTGCAAGCATAGCTATGATTAGAGTTTTTCCTTCCCCAGTAAAAATTTAAGCCAATCGTCCTTAATTAGGATTGTGATTGTATAACTCTATTACTGACAATAATTAGACTGGTCTTGGATAATATGAAAAGTGTTCTTTTATTTTTAAACACAAAAATATTAGATCTTCATACTGTAATTCTGGGGAGCTTGTAAAATTATCAAAGTTTAAATCTAATTCTTGTTTGTTATTAAGCAATTAATATACTTATTAAAGTAAATTTTATAATTCTTCATTAGATCTTTAATTAATTGAATTAAATTCTTAAAAGAGATCCTTTATTGTCTACTCATATGATGTTTGATCTTGTTCGGTATTGGGTTAAGTAATGATTAGCTCTTATTTATCTTTAATTAAGCTTTATTCAAAAATAATACCTACTAATTACATAAATTAGTTAGCTGTTTTAAACTCAAATTTTGTAGCCTCCTCTACAATTTTTACATTTATTTTATTTAATTAAACAAATTAAATAATTTCATTAATTTCCTCTTCACTTTAAATTTATTAAGATAATCTCTAATGTAAATTTAATAATTCTTAATGGGGCCAATCTTTTTCAATTTCAATAGTTTGAGACATCTCTTTAATCAAGCACTCTTGAAATTTATCCCAATTATTAAAGTGTTCCAGAAGTAAATATATGACTTTTTCTGAATTCTAAAATCTTTGAATTTATTCATTTAAAAGTGATCTTTAGTTTTAGTTCAAATTCATTTAGATTATTATGGATTGCAAATTCTGATTTTCTTCGGCTGACCAATTTTTATTCTCGATCAACTCTGCCATATTTTTTTATTATTTATTTAATTAAATTTTTTTAGTTAATTTAAATTGATAGAATTTCAAGAAATTCTATTAAATACTATAATTTATCATCTTCTATAATTTCAAAAATGTTAAGAAGGCTTCATTTTTTGTTTTTGTTATAGATATAAAATACAAAAATTTAATAGATAATATGATATTCTAATCAGTTGCTGTTTTGATTCATTATTTATCTGACAGAAGAGAATTATTTAAAATACATTTTTTTGTTATAAAAATGAGCATATATATTTTTGAATGAAAACAAATAATATATTATTATAACAACATTATATATAATCTTTAGGATTAAGAAAACAATAAGTAGGTTTGCCAAAAATAAATTTTGTTAATTCATCTTAATCTATATATATTTGAATTTTTCAAAAAATCTGTTAAGAATTTTTATTGAAATTAATATAAACTGAGAGAGAATTGAGACAAGAATATTCTATTTAAACTATAATTTCATGATAAAAATTAACTGATAATTATATTTATATAATTTAATAATCGATATTCTAATCCTCATATTTATATCTAATTTTCTTTAAATATTCTTATTTAATTGATCGTTATGGACATATTAATGGATGGTCTGATTTCGTTTTAAATAGAATTGAGATTGTCTTTTAGCTCTTTGATGGGCTTGGCATAACTAAGTAAATATTTTTTAATCTTTTGGTACTATCCTTAAATACGTTTCCTTCTCTTACTACTATTCTCTAAATAGTTTCTGAGACATGGATAATCCATAGTCCAAGGAGCTATAGCAATTATCTTTTCCCTCAATTTGTCCAATTAATCATCTAATTCCTCCCAATAAGATTTTAATATTTAATTAAGAAGCATCAATAAGTAAAAGAAATTGAGTATGACTAAGATTAAGAAGTAAGGTATTTAAGTTTCAATATTGCCATATAATTAATTGATGTATATTCCACATCCCAAAATGATGGAAACTTAACAAACCTTTGCTGAATGGGCATCTAAGTTATTAAGAGTACTCATTTTATATGGCCTAAATCTATAATTTAATTCTGAATATAAATAAACAACAAGTAAAACAAGAGTGCCTTTCTGAATAATATTGTCATCATAATAAGATAGAAAAATGATTACCAACTCTTTCTCTACAATTTTAACAATTTCCCAAAAAAAAGCGCTGATTTTATATTCATTGTACAAATATCCAAGTTTCTGTCTGATTCTTTTCTCATTCAAAATATTTCTGTTAACGTATAAGGAGATAAAAAATAGAAATGGTATGAGAAATGCAAATAGAAATAGTCCTGGCAAGCAAAAGACTGCCAACCAAATAAAGTGCTAGGGAGTATCATATCTATAAGCAACGTTAGCTTGAATCCATTAATATCCAGATATTGAGCGAAAAGATATTAATGAAATAAAACCTCCAATTAGATTTGGTTAAATGTAAATGTATATATATATGAATGTCGTGGTGATAACACTCAAACTATATTCAGTAGCACGAAATTTTACAATAATGTAGTAAATTCCTAAAAAGAAAATGATGTATATGAATGGCATTATTAATTACCATATTATTCTAGCATAATGAATTTCTACAGAGAACATTTAAATTAAAAAGCAATCTAATGAATATGTCATTGTTTCGATTGGATTTCCGTTTGAATTTATGGAATTGTTAAAAAAAAATGAAAAATCTATTTTAAAAGTAGTTATGGCTGTTAATATTTACAGATGATTTGTAAGCATTTTTATGAGAATAGCAGATTAAGAATATCTTTATTTTTTAATGAACTTTAATTTTGTCATTTAAATTTGAAGTGCAATCTATTCAAGTAATGCTAATGTGCTCTTCACAGAAATTAAAATAGAAATTAATGTCCTAAAATATTATTTACAATATACCAAATGGTAATCAAAGTAATAATGATAATATTTGTATAATTATTTACGCAAGAAGCACAAGAATATTTAACACTTGTTGAATATTATCCATATCCTCGAGAGTCATATAAATCACATTCTTCACACAAAGCACCTATGTGTCCAACAGTACAAGAATTATCCCCTTTAGACCAACCTCCATTACAATTTTGGAGTAAATTAATACATTAACTGATTGAATAAGTATTAATATAGGGCCTCCAAAATCCTTCTCTCAGATTAAGTTAGGCTGATTTGATTTCAATTGTTGAAACATCATCTTTGATTTAGCATTTTTGAGCATTAATTACTAATGAATATTATCCTTATTCAGGATCACATGGAACACAGATTTTAGTTTAAATCTTCTTGATTTCTCCCATTTGGCATGGTAAAGATTTGACATTCATTCTCAAATAATAATTTCTATGGTATGATTGTATTTAATTTTGTTTTCCTATTACAGGAATATAAATTGAACTACAGTTAAACTAAAGTTGCAAAGTCATATTTAATTCATCATCTAAATATATTATCATTTTATCCAAATTATAATCTTAATTATCAAATTCAATGTTCTCTAAATTTGTAAAATTAGTTGTGAATTCCCTTTCTATTTCATCATCAAGTAATCTACCTTTAATTGTACATTATATTTTCTCTAAATTTTTTATAATAGAATCATATTGGTCTTAGGCTACTATTCTTAAATGCAAATTGTATGGTTAATACTCTTCTTTCTGCCAATTAAAGTATTTATATTAAGAGATAGTTTATCCATTCGGAAAATAGATAGTATTAGATAAAACATTCTTCATAACTTCATACTCCTTTATTTATACTTACTCTATTACTAGATTTTCTGTTTAAAGTATTTTTTTCTTTTGTAAATAATTAAAAGTATCTATTGAAACAGCCAATTATGAAGGAACTTAGGCTGCATCATTTCCGTACTTTTTTGCAATATTATCAATTGATTATGAATCTAAAAGTGTCATATTTTAAATCATTTAATCAGTCATAAATATTCCACCTCCAATATTTGCAATATTTTCAATAATTATTGATCTCTCTATAAAGAAATCTTGTATTCCAATAACTAAAATTGCACCTCCTTTGTGAACAGCAATATTATTTTTAAAAGTAGAAGAAAGAATCAGTGTTGTAATATTTTATACTCTTAAACATGTACCTTCATATCCCTGATTTTATTAACATAGGTAATTTAATACATTTATTTAGTAAGTTTTATTATTGACATATGGAATTAATTTTTATAATCTACGACGAGATTGGATATTATTGTAAATATTTATACAGCTGGATTTACCACATTTATTTCTATAGATATTGAGATATTTAATATCTAAAATACTTTAACTTTCTTTTATTGGTATGTTAAATAATCCATTTTAACAATTTTCACAATCTATGTCTTAGAATTCAACTTATAAAATTGTGATATTGGATTTAAATGGAATGATATCAATAATGCTCAAATTATCATTTCTATTTTGCATTTTCATCTTATTTATAACACAGGCTGCCTTTTTATCTATAAAATTTTCATAAAATTAAGGTAAATTCTTAGGTGATATCCTGTTTAGAGACTGTTTCATACATTAAAAAGTCTAATAAGGCATTGGATTTATCTATTAGATAATGCATTCAAATTTATCTAGAATAAAAGCAAAAATAGAAATATTTGATATATGTAAATCACTCATAAATATAGTTGTATTTCTATTTTTGCTATCTATTTATATAACAGAATTCAAAAATATTGAGTAGCTTATTATAAGTTTATTTATTTATATCTTAAATGTATTGGTTATTTATAGGAATGATTCATATTTTAGATTAAAAATTGAGAAGTCTTAAATTACAATAGTTTATGCATTATAAATGCAAATCAAATATCTTTAATAACTTAATTACTAAAATTCATCTATATCATCTAAATTATTAAATTGACTCAAGAAACTCATTTGACCATTGTGAGTATTCTTTACTTAAACATTTTATAGATTTATTAATTTAGATGTATTTGATTAAGCAGAAATTTCACTATAAATTATTGATCCTTAAAGAGCATATACATCTTAAAGTATGACGTTAGATATAAAAATTTGAGATTCACCTTATCCATTAATTAAATAGATAAAACCACCCTTTTATCTACATTAAATATTGCTCAATCTTATATTTTATATTTTTATGCTTGCATTAGAAATTTGAGTAGTATCTAATATAATAGCTCCTCCATTTTCATTTTTTTCCAAGAATAATGATTTTATTGAAGAGAATACTGTATCACTAATTAAACAAGATGCATCATTCAAAAGAGATATATACATTCCTGAACCAGTGGAGTTTGATATGCTTACATTTATTATTTCAACATTTTGACCTTCTAGTTTAACAATTCCTGTTGATACTTTCATTGGAAAAATGTTTAGAATGTTTTCTAAAAATATTCTTTGATCATTTGTAAATCCCCATAATATATGAGGTTGCAAAATGCTAAAATTAGAGATGCAATTAAATCTAAACACTGCATTTTATATTATTATATTATTTGATTTTAAAAAAATGATGCCATATGTCGAATTAGTAACTAGATTTGCTTAAATTTTTAGATTTTCAAGAATAAATGGATATATTAATTTTAATCTATAACTATACAATCTGGACAATCAAAGTTAAAAAGTAATGCTGAGTTTATTAAATCATTATGACGATATTAGTGCATTAGATTATTTTCCATTACTGAATTTTAAATAATTATTTAGACAGTTGATTGGGATATTAATTAAAAAATTGAGGCTTAGTTCCAGGAATCAATTATCAAAATGAGATTATTTTTGAAATATAATTCTGAAATGAAAATAGTATAGGACCTATCAGATGATTGTATGTATATGATGGGATTATTTATCATTGTAACTGATTCTATAATTAAATCTTATATCTAAATTTACTCAATATTATAAAGATAGAGTGATGTAGAAGAATATTTTGTTAGTGCTTCACTTTCAACACAATCTACATATTGATGAAGTCCTTAAATTTAATATGATTTATGTTATAGAATTCGTACTTAACGTAGTTACAAAGATCGTACTGATTAGATTGAAATATCTGTAATTCCAAAACCTCTAGTGATGATCAAATTGTTTATCTCTATATAATTTGATTCTAAGAAGATAAGGAATAAATTTAGGTTATTTGGTGGAATTTAATTTAATTTTCTATTAAGTATATTGACATTTAATGTCAAATTATTAAATTTAAGTTATTGAAATGTAATCTAATTGTTTCTGATATTTATAAAATTGGATGATTCGTCATATTCATTTAATGAAAATTCAACTTGGGTAAAATCTCCTTTTTCAACTTAAAAATCAAAATTGTAAAAAATTGAAGAAAATTCCATTATTTCATTTTATTAAAAAAGAAAGAAAGCAGTATCAAAGTTTTTATTCATAGCAAATATCTTTGAATTAACTATTTTATTTTTTTACATAAACATTTCTCTAATTTATATTTCAACTAATTAGTTTCCTCCTATTAAATTTTATACATTATGTATTTAACAAGCTTAAATTGTAGTATCCTAAATTAGAAGGGATCCCGAAGTTGAATATATTAGTTTTGATTCATAAAACAAGATTGAGTTAAAATTGGATTTATAGAAAAATAAAGAGTCATCAGATTTAGTATTAAATTAGAAAACATTAAGTTTGTTGAATTAACAATTTATCACATTCATGTTTTCAATAACAATTCTTTAGACTTAAATTATTTTTTCCACTAAAATAAATGCTTAGACATCACCTAAATTTAGATCTTAAATTTTAAAAGTAGAGATTAGAACATCTGTAGAATTCCATATTAAAATTTAAGATTAAAATTAATATTTAAAGTTACTAATATATCTGATATTTATTAATTGAATTGTTTATTCAAAGACACTGTTAAAAAATAATTGCTTAAAACCAAAATATATAGATGGTTATAAAATTATTCCATTAAAAATAACTTTTTTGAAGTTTACAATCTAAATTGTTTTATCATATTATAATATTGTATTCCCATTTCCATATAGTTCCAATTAAATATTTCTAACTTATATAAAATTAAATACATGGCTGAGAAGATGTTTTAACTAAATTTTTGTTTAATACTTTTATTATTATTTGTGATTATGCAATTTTAAGGTTTTAAACTATGAATTATGATAATTATAGATTTGATAACCTACTCGTTGGCCATCTGATAAAATTCTGGTTACTCGAACTATTAAATTTATTGAAAAATATACTTATGGAAAACTAGAATTTGAGAATAAATCATCAATTAATATATTGCTTTGTTTAAAGTTTTTAACATCTTCTTCATTCTTCAAAGATTAAATCTCTTTATCATATTCTTCTTTTTAACAATATAAAATTAAACTTATCTACAGTTCTTTCATGCAAGCACCTTAAGGACAATCAACATACATTTTCAAATCTTTATCATAATATCCTACCTATTTTTATAAACATTAATTTGAATAATAATAAAAGTCTTAATTATTAAAAACTGGATTAATTAATTTTATTTCCTCTTATTCTCTAATACGACAAATTACACAAAATGCAGGACATTATATACATTCATTATTTTATACACTTAAACTTCTTTTGCCTTGAATTTATGGGCATTAGATACAGATATTCTCATCATTTATTATTTTACATTTTAAACAACAACTAGGACACACTGGAATGCATTTTCCTTTATGAAGTTGATATCCATCTATACAAAATTGGCATACAATCTCATAATCTCCAATATCTTAACTAAGACCATATTCAATAAATGAATGTGATTGTAAGTCATCATCTATGATAGACCTATAAAAAGCACGAACTTAATTCTTCCAATTATCTTTGGATATTTTATTTTATTAATAACAAACTTAACATCTTAGTTCTTAAGGACAAGGTACACAATATCCAGACAATTTTTCTGCATAATAACCATTATTGCATTCAAGACAAATATAAGAAACTTTTATGTTGATTTATCTAATCATACAAATGTGACAATTATAATTAAGACAATGGCTTTCAGTAATAAATGATATAGGATCTATGATTGTATTTATTTTAGGTCCAAATAAACAAACCTCTTTTAAAGTTTGTGGTGGTGTTATGTAACTATAACTATAGTAACATTCATCAGATTGTTATGATTCACATTGATTCGTATTTATATTATAGGTATATTTTTCTTAGCATTATCTGCATATGGAAACAGTACCAATGAAAAATGTATTGAGTTCGTATTCTAAAGAGTTAAATTTATAATCATTTCTTGATACTTCAAAAGCATAAAGACAATTTTGTATTTTATTTTCAAAGCAATTTTAACCATCTAATGAAATATAATATTTTTGATCATGTACACATTTTAAACATCTTAAAATTTTTTAATTAGAATACTACATTTACTAAAATTTGCAAATATCACAATTATCACCACATTTTGTACAACCTTGGTTATCATTAATTTCATATCCATTTGGACATTAAAGACACTTATAATAATAATTTATTAAATGACATTTAGTGCAAAGATTTTGGCAGATAATACAAATATTATTATATAAATAATATCCTTCTTCACATTATAAACAAATTTAAAACCTATAATCTGATTGAATACAATGGTCGACAGACTTCAAACATTTATTATTTTCAAAATAATAATCCTATTTACACATAATGTAAAAAGTTTAAAATAAATGAGTTTGTTTTTCTATATTAAAGCAATTAGGAAGATCATTTTCACCATTACAATAATTTTCAGCCCCATTAATTAATACTAAATTAGCATCTTAATCAATAAAATAGACATCATAATTAAAAGTAGATCTCTATTCTAATCTATAAGCTGACTTTTCAGAATCATTATCAACTATAAAGTCTTTTGTGCACACAGGTTTTAAATACCAAGTATTTGGATAAATGAGACAATCAGTACATAGAATAGTAACTTTATTTGCTTATGGACTATATATTAATAAAATTAAAAATCATACCATTTAATACATTCATTGATTGTAGGTAAGTAGAAATACCCATACTCACAAATTAAGTTATTCTAAACTTAGGAAACATTTAAGATTTAGATATTCGAATAAATTTGAGAGTATGATTTACACTCACCTTAATATTCAATAAAATTATTTTGGCATGAACAAATCTTTAAATCTTCTGAGAATATTCTATTTTTTTAGCTATCACATTCTAAACAATTTGTTGATAGTGGGCCATTACATTAACTACATGTTTAATGACAAACTACATTATGATATAATTATAATACCAATATTCAATTCTGTATTTTCTTAAAAATTATACTCAAATTTTGCATAAGCAATTTGACCTCTCAATTTTTATTATATTGTTCTATCACCTCCAAAAATAGCATAATATTTAGTGTTAGTAAATAATCCTTAAGCATATTCTTCAGGAAATTTTTCATAAATAATCTTATTTGAAGATATAAAATTAAAAGTCACAGATGGACCATTAGTTTATCTATAAAAGAATGATACGATATGCCACTATTATAATTATTGATAAAAATATTCTCCATTATCTCGAAAATTAAGTTTTTACTAAAATTATTCATTTATAGGACCAAATTTAGGGGTAGAATACATATGAGAAATTACATCATAACCACAATTTTAAGGTTATGATTTATCTAAATCTATTGTGATTTTAGCTAGTTCATCCCCTATCCTCAATTCATCCCCATAATTCTTGAATATTGTAAGTCTAAGTAATAAATAGGTTGTTGTGAAACTTGCCTCTGAAAAATCATATTTAACCCAACAAAAAAAGCGAAAACTCTTACCTACTTAATCTATTTCTCTTATCAATTATGTATTTCCTTTAAATATTTACACATCATCTATTAAATGAATTGTTTATCCTCCAATCATATTTATAGGAATATAGCAATTAGAAAGAACCCAAAGTAAATTTTAGTTTGCTTCATCCTCTATGGTTATAAGCTTAGATAATCTTCCTCTAAATATTCCCAGTTAATATTTGTGACTTACCTAAATTTATTTATAATTAATTTACAAATCCGGTACCACCAATTATGATTTAAAATTTATTGAATAAAGGTATTTCATCATGAATGTCAATATAATTGTTTGATTCTGATGTTTAGAATTTTATAAATTGAGATCCAATAGTTATCATGCTTAAATACCACTTCCCTTCATAAATTTTAGAATCAAATTTGTATTCATAAACTTTTTCTTATAATTTAGTATTTATATGAAGACTATGAATTACTTCATTTTAACCACTAATAAAATCAACATACATAAATATTATCAAAGATTGTTCATTTTGCTCTGCATTTATTAAAAATAGAAGTTATTAATTTCTAATATCTTCAAACATGAATTCCTCAACTTGTGGATATGAATCAACTTCCCAAGCTGGAATACAAAAACTCCAAAAAGCAAATGACTTAGTTAAACCTTTAAAATCAATTATTGTCGTTTCTATTTAATATTTTTTACTTAACAAGCTTTCTTCATAATTTGTGAATTGACAACCCTAAACAATATATAGGATTGTTGTAATCAGTAATTTCACAATACTTCTAAAATTCATATTCTAATCTATATAATAAAGCATATTTACTATTTTAATTTTAATTGCTTTTTAAAATCATATAATTTTAAATCACCCATTAAATCTTAATAAATACTTTTTTTTCTTTTAATTCTAAATTCTTTTATTAAAGTGAACTTTAACATTTATGATTCAAAATCATTAAAACAATAAAAATTAAGCTTCTTTTTAATTTTTTTATAAGTAAGAATATTACTTAAAAAGTATATTCGATTTTAATATAATATAAATTTATAAATTAGATTTCTTGAATAATTCCTGTTTTTAAGTAATCAAATATGTCCTTTAGATATAACGGAAATCTAAACCATTATATAACAGAGAAATAAATTGTAAAATCTCTTTATAATTAATAATAACAAGATATAAATTTTGATAATTTAAAACACGCTTTTATCTATTTTATGATCAACAAGATAAATCTTAATATTTGGAGATTTTACCAAATCATATTTCATTTTGAAATCAAATCAATTTAATAAAATTGAGAAATAAAAATATTAAAGAAATTTCAGTTTATTAAAATCTATTACAAAATTAAATAGTTCCAAAATAGTTAGATAAAATTTAGCTAGTATTATAAAAAAGCTATTGAAATCGATATTGATTTAACTTAATTACTTCTAATCAACTTTCACTAACTTCTTAGGATATATAATCAATAACTTTTAATAATATTAATAAAAATATTGATATTAATATTTAATTTATAATTATATCATCTAATCAATTATAGCTAAATTAATAATTAATTAAAATAATTTATTTATTAATTAAAGAAACATCGTAGATAATATTAAATAAATAATATTCAAAAAAATTTATTCCTTAATAACTTTAATCAATTTAGAATTCTATAAAACATAAAAGTTATATATAATCTTCAAAAAATTACATCATATTAGAAAAATCCTAAAAATCAAAATTTCACTAGATTTCTTCTTTGCATTCTTATAATATTCAGCTTTCTATTTTATTTGCTTCAAAAATTTCCAAAATTATGAAGATTTTGTTAGGCTCTGTGTGATGGCTTGTTTATTTATAATATATTTTATTAAAATTCTATAATATTTATCATTTGTATATGTAAATATTTCTAGGTCTTTAAGATTATTATTGAAGCTAAAACTGTAAAAGGTTCAACATAATTCACTCAAAGGCTATTCATAGTTTATATATTGTGATTAGTAACTAAAATGTTACAATATTTATATTTTTTATTTAAAAATTTGTGTATTTTTTAATTGCCATCTCATTGTAAATTTATAGAAGTGCATAAATAGTTTAACTTGTAAATGTCATTAAAAAGCTTTACTGATTGATTAAATAAAGGGAATTTGATATATAAATTAGGAATAGAATTTTATAATAAAAGCTATAAATAAAGCAACAACAACTATAATTAGCTGCTTAATATACACATAAGATATATCCATTCATGAAACAGTTATTAAAAAAAGTAATGAATAAAATTTTATTTAATGTATTGATAGTAAAAAAATATAATAAAAATAACAATTAAAATATCATAAAAGTGCTGCTATTCTTATATGATATGTAAATTTTAATTTCCTTAGTAAAAAATAGTGAATAATATCAATAATATCAATAATCATCCCATAATATTTTTAATAGATACCACAATTATGTCCAATAAATATTTTATTTTCTTTTCCTGATTTTACATTCCAAATATTTAATAGAGCACAACACTATGTGCTTCATCGCATGGAAAACAGAATTACAATATGATATTTTTTATTTTATTTTTTTCTTCCATTATTTTTATTTTCTCATGATATATTAACCAATACTCTAAAATCATTATTTAGCACCTTATCTCCTTATTAAGTATTATACTTTTAGAGTATTTTCTTTTAATATGATAATTTTTTAGTAACATTATTATATTAAGATGTTTTCTCTTTGAAATTAATATTGCATTTTTCATCTTAGTTAAATGATATCTTAACATAGGAAGTAAAGCCAAGAAAAGAAAAGAAAATAATTAACTTTTCATATTGTGATATCTATCTGTGTCATCCCTTACTCTTGAATATTCATTGATAGAATATTAGAGAGAATAACAAAGTTCATAAAGAGATATTTTCCTGAATCTTTTGAGATTAATCAGATGGGGAATAGAGAATATTATTGAAAAGACTTAATATGGCATGCATTCAGCATATTTGACTCTTATTTTGTATCACACTTGCTTTCATCATCAATAAATAATTATTAAAAACATTAATAATTAAATTTGTCATCCTCTGATTTAAATAACGAAATATGCCGTTTTATGTTTTATGTAGTTAAAAATTAAATGAATTTGAAACAAAATTATTTTATTAATATTCAAATAATGAATTCTAAAAAATCTAAATTGAGAATTGAATAATTATCTAGGAGATTATTATTGTTTCTGTTTCTGTTATTGAATTGAGTACTAAGATTTACCTAAGAAAATTGAAATTATTTTAATGATAAAGTGTTTATAAGATAAATACAAATAGAATTCATTACGAAAAAGCAAAATAATTAAGAAGTTGAATAACATATGCATAAACCTAAAAAGTAAAATAGGGATTTTAAAAAATAATATTAAAAATATTTTTTTAATTTAAATCCTATATCATGATACTAAAATTGGAATTCTGGTCTTCAGAAGAATAGGAGACCTACATCTACTTAGGGTTAAACAACGAGATCTAAAATCCTTGGTCTAGTCGTTGAATGGTTCTATGTTGCTCAAGATCTTACTCTTATTCTTGAACTTATTAATGACCAGAAATTGTACTAATATGTGAAATTCCATAAGTAATTTGGTCTTAGTGAAGAAAATAAAGGAGAATAGATGAATATAATATCCAGTTTCCTAATGTTGTATCATAAATAAAAGGATACTAAATCTAAAGTTAAACTTAACACAATAGTGTCCATGGAGTAAAAATTGATATCTCTGAACTAGATATATAATTACTATTAGTGAACACAATATATATTAATGTGGTAACCAATAACCAACCTTAACAAATTATAACATGGGTTGTTTAGGATTTTAAAATAAAGTAAGAATTACCTCAATCAATTGTTATCTACCAATTAACATCCAATCATGACTTATAGAAGATTGAACAATAGACATAAAGATAGAGATTGGAGGTCCCTTAGTAAATACTATATAGTATTTCTAAGAGATAAATGAGATTTCAAATATCGAGGTAATCTGGAGAGTTGGGAAAAAATAATGAGAGAGAGATAACAGAGTATAACACTAATAATGTGATGAGGAATTGTAATCATTATGAATAGATTTAATAGTCTAAGGTAGAAGCTTTAATGTTAGGAAATCATATATATTGAAATGTTTGTCAATGGGATATTTTAAAGATAGGATCTTTTGGACTTATTACAAATTGGTTAAGATTACTGAGAGTCATTTGGACTTTACCTTAAGGAGTACCACAAACAACTAATGATATTGCTCTAATGAGAATTGAGAGAATTAGTCATATTTTAAATACAATTTATTTTAATATAATATTTATTAGCACTTATTCTTAAACTTCCTAATATTCATTTTCGGTATGTTTCTATAATTAAGCTACATCAAATTATAGCTACCTGTTTAAAAGTTACAACTACTATAAATTTCATAAACAAACATTTAAGATTTATAATCCAATAAAAGAATTTAAATATATATATATATATTTATTTAAATAATACAATTTCATTTTTAGATTTAGATTTATTTGTCCTTTAAAAATGTCACTCTTTAAAATATTGTTTGTTGAAATTCTAAATTTGCCTTTTAAATTTAATTGTTTGTTTTGTGAGATTATTTCTATTCATTTGATTTAATTTTACTCATTCTTTTTTCAATTAACTTATTTATTTTCCTTTTGATTAAATAGAATAAATTATATAGTTCAAAAATCAAAAAGGAAATTAGAACACTTACTAAAAGGAACATCTAAATCCAACTTATTGTAATTATAAAGTTATATGAAAGGTATCGTTATAAAATATCCCAATTTAAGAAGGTTGATGCTGTAAATAATGTTAGGGATGTTTCCATGATGATATTTTTGATGTAGAATTGAAATTCTTCAGTGCTCTTCATATTGATAATATAAATTAAATAAAATGTATTGACAAAAGTCATAAGCAAAGTTTAAAGTATTTATTCACGTTAGTAAAATACTAGAATTGATATAATAGAAATCTTTTTTATTAAAAGAAAAACAGGTTATTTTTATAACCAAAATTGATTTAAATCTTATTTTTTCAAAGGAGTTACTCCTGAAATTTAAGATAAGATTAAAGTTATAATTATGATAAGTATTACAAAAGTTATAGATAGACGAACATAAGATCTATAATAAGAGAAATCATGATCTGAATATAATTCAAGCAATGACATAAAAATAAGATCCCAACTACAAGCTAGCAAAGTAGTTTTAATAAAACTAATATCTATTTTTCTAATATATAAATTGAGTTTTCTTTACTATCTTTATAAAAAACGAATGAATTTTGGGAATCCTTATAAACTTGAACTCAACTCTAAGATTGAGATGACTCTCTCTAATAAAATACTACATATATAACCCAAAAGTAGAGTGAGAGAAACAAGAATTTCTGTTCTAAATCCTTCAGTAATATCTGCATTGATTTCATAATATTAAAATTTTTCATATGACTCTAGATAAGGAAATTAAAGTAATTTAGCTTTTTTATTTAAATCTGTTATGCTATTCAATAATGATTAGACTGATATCAATTCACTTGATTAAAAATATATAATTAAAGTTTAAGGGTATAAGACATTTATAAATTTTAAATATGATTATTATTAAAGGGCATCTAATATTCCCCAAAATGAGAGTATATTTCCTAAGAGAATTAGAATAATTGATATAGCATATATTGATTTAACTGATATTTTACTAATCATTTAAACAGTTTATGCAATATAAATTTATTAATCAGTTGTATAATTAGGTTAATTTAATTATAAATAATCAACCATATTTACTAAAGGAGCTAGATTAGCACTAAATAATTATTCTGTTAATTTCACTTCTAATATTGGATGATTAGGTAAATTAGTAAAAATTTCAATTTACACAATATATTCTACATCTGTTGTAACTTAATATTAAGCAGATTATATTTCCTTAATGGTAATTGCATAAAGTGTTTAATTTAAATCAATAATTGAAAGTTCTATTGTATCTTAATAATTGATATCTGAGAGTAATTAAACAGCCTAAGAGAATTTAATTTAAGCATATTAATATTAATTTTTCTACATCATATATTCACACTTAAGATTTGGGTACTTAACAAATGTGCAATCATAACCTTAATTACAAATCCAATCAATTTCCACTTAACAAGTTTAAGAACATCCATCTCCACTTTCTTGATTTCCGTCATCACATTATTCTTAATTTGACATGATACCATCTCCACAAACATTATTACATTTATTCTCAATGAGTTTAAATCCAAAATTGCAATTAAAACATATTCCATTAATGCATTCTTCACAATTAAGAGGACATTAAAATTAACATAGATAACAACCATCAAATTCTTAAATATTATTATCTTCACATTATTCATTACCAGCTATAATTGAATCTCCACATATTGTAGAACAGATATTATTAATAAGATAAAACCCTGGTAAACATTTATCTTGGCATATTCCTTATTCACATTTTATACATTCAATAGGGCAAGAATATTAGCAATAGAAACAACCATCAAATTCAATATTATTACCGTCATCACAATCTTCATTTTCTTAGACAATAAGATCTCCACATGTACTTATACATTAGTTATTTAATAATTTAAAATAGTTATTACATTAATAACAAATACCATCTTAACATTTCTCACAATAAAGATCACAAACACATTCTTCAAGTGTGTAAAGTGCTATTTAATTTCCACAAATGTTTTAACATTAACCTAAAATTAATAATTATCCAGATTAACATTTATAACAAATATTATCAATACAAATCTCACATTAAGGTTAACATAAATTGACTTTCTCTATCTTAATACAATAATTATTTTCTAAAATAAAATCATTCTCACATAATTAACAAATACCTTAATTACAATTTAAGCAATGATCATTACATTTAATTTAACATCTATTACAAAATGGTTATAATTAATATTCATCACATAATTCATAATAACTATTAATTTGATCAAAACAAATTTACTCACATTTACTATTAAATTAATTTAAAAAAAAGTCATTTTGACATAAAATACACTTTCCCAATAAACAAACCTAACAATTATCTATTGGAGGAAAACAATCAAATTAAGTTTATATTTCTAGGATAGTTATTATAGAATATTCTTAAATAATCTCTTTTTCACAAATTTATTCATATTCCAAATAAATCCAACCCTCATAACAACTTAAACATATCATATCTCTACATTCAGAACAACCATCAACACATGAAAACATACAGTTAAAGCAACCATCAAATGGAAACAAATTGCCGTCATCACATTCTTCTTATAATTCAACTACTTGATCACCACATACTGATTATTCTAAATATATATGTATTATATATACTTATAAATATTTGTATGTCTCTTATTCCAAAAGACTCATCTGAAAATCCTTAATCTAATGTATTTAAAATTTTTATTCTGGCACTAGAAATAGAATGAGGAAATGTAATTTCTATATTAATAAATACATCTTTTTAAGTTGATCCACAAATTCCATATAAATATTAATCGAATAATGAGAGCTGCTAATCCAATTTCAATTCACCATCAACTTTCAATTAAAAGTAATCTGACACTTCCCAACTATCAATCTTTAAATACTTTAGCTTTATTTTCATTTATGAATGAGTGGGAATATTTATTAAATTCAAAGACACTACAGTATCTTTTCCACAAACTCCATTCCCACATATAGTTGGAATCACTAATATGATATTTCAATTTCTTACTGAAACATTATTATTTATTTACATCTCCATAACTAATAGTCCATCCATCTGTAATAAATAAAGTATAATCAATTTCAGTATATGCAGTATGAGTTAATACCCATGATTTACAATCAAACTCAGAATCACTTTAAATACAAACCAAACATCCTGGAGGGCATAAGTAGAGAAATAGTTTAAAATTCTTAAATCCCCATGATTCCTTTATTTATAAATAATCATACATCCCAAGCACTATTATCCAAAGTACTAGTTAAGTATAAGTAGGTTGTCAATCCTGTATGATCAAACTCAAATTATATATTATGAATTTGATCTTTAGTATATGTTTACGATTATCCACAGATATTACCATCCTGTTCTTAAGTTTAATATGCGACATTATATACTAAATTTTAATCAGCATATACTTAAAAGTACTCATTTAAGTCCCATGAATCGATTCTATGTTAGAAAAACTGCTTTTTACATATAAAGGGTCATAGAAATTTTGATTCTATAATGAGGAGGTAATAGTATGATCTTTGTAGCAGCTTATAAGTATGCAAATCTTTCAAACCCTCCTATAATCTATTCTGATCCACATTAGGTGATTATATTCGTAGGATCTATGTTTAAGAATCTCCAATCTATGCTAATGATGTTTATTACTATCAGTTTAAGTTAGAATAGTATCACTGAATGCTGAATAAAAGAGGGTTTATTAGTTGGTTATGCTTATTAATATACAAATCAAAAGCATTGATTAGAAGGTATTTAGTAAAACTTTTGTTAATTAATAAAACTTGATAAAACCATTATAGATTAATCAATTTTGTTTTGTTGAAGAAGATTCTTAATAAATATTTTATTTAAAAAAAAAAAAAAACCATTCTTAAATAAATAACTAGAATGCAATTAATTTGATTGGTTATTCAAGTAAATAACTATTATGGAATTAAAGAACTTTTAAATAGTGAAATTTTAGGATGCAATTAATGAATAAATACAAATATATTGATTCATTTATTTCCTTAATGTCAAAAAAATTCTTAACATTTAATTATTTAAGTTTTCTCTATTCCACAAGTCAATAAAAAAAATATTTTATTTTAAAATTCCTATTACATAATTGTTTTTATATTTTAATTTCCAAATTTCAAATATCTTAATTTACAATTATTTCAGATATAATATATGCTAATATGTTATGTTTTTCAAAGATTTTGTTTAAAAAAACATATCATTAATTATCTGAAATTACTTATAAAATCACAATCAATACTACTCTTATATTATAAGGTTTCGGAAAAAATGAATTTTCAAATTTTATTAAATATACTACTATAATTTGGCATTTATATAAATTACTGAAGATGAAATTTAACTGTTTTTATGATTATTTCAAAATTTAGATTTTTTATGATCTTTATTAAAATTATTGTAATATTAATTTGATTTCATTTATTTAATCATATTGTAAGATTATAATTAAATTAAAGATATTAATTTTTCATAATTGAAGGTAAATTTCATTTTGATTTATAAATATATAATCATTATCGAAATCTAAAAATTTGAATAAATTGTAACTCTTATAGTGACCATTTTAGACTAAATTGTTTATTATGATGGAAGAATTTTATAAAATTTATTCATACTTAATTTTGAATTTTTTTAAAAGTTATTAAATTCCTTAAGATATACTAACAAACGATAAAGATCATTTTAATAATCTAATAATAATTTCTGTAAATATTTGAATATATGGAAGTTAAGTAATTTATAAAATATTTAATTTACAATTAAAAATTTTATTCTATACATTACTCTCATTTTAATATAAGCTCTAATATTTCACATTCTTCTAAGTCAGGTGTTGCCTACCCAAATAAATGAGTGCTTGTATTTTATATTTAGTATTAATCAATTTAATAAGCAGTTCCTAAAGCAGAGGAGCCACTTGTAAAATCGGATCCAATGTATATATCGTATCCATTACCAAATGATGGCCCATAAGATTAGTGTCTATATATAGCATTTCCTTTATTGGCTTCTTTTAAAGGGAAAAACTGATTATGAGTCTATGAAAATAGGAAAGATGATAATGTGTCATCTGCTACATAACCATTTTATTTCTCTATCCATTAACAGGGAGTGTAAGCACCAAAAATATTTCCACTTTTTGATTTATAAATAATTAGTAAATTATATTTTCCATTAATTTTACTCCAACATTTAGTATGATTCAAGCCATCTCTTGTTCCCAAATAAATAAGAAAAGAACATATTATTTTCATTTTAGATTTTTCTTCTATCAATTTACAAACTTCCAAATAAAATTATGGAGTTATTAGTTTAGGTTAATCCCTTATTAGTTATTATAAAGATTTATGCTCTGATGATAACTAATTAATTTCTTGATTCTTTTAATTTAATTAGTTAGTAGATTCTTATTGAGCTTTAGTAATTTATGATTTTAATTATTCAATTTGATTATTTAAAGATTAATTAGATTCATTTAATTGAGATTTATCTTGTTGATATTGTAAAATTTATAAATCTAATTATTCTATTTTAGAGTTAAGAGTTTCAATCTTTTAATTAGATTCATCCAATTAAGTCTAGATAACTTATTGTGATTACTTAATTTAATTGCTTTCTTACTCTAAGGATGAGACTAACTTTTAATTTTCTTCTGCCATAATTAATAACTTCATTTTTTTTGAATATTCCAAAAATGAAAGATATTATTTTTATTATTATTCAGCATTAAATAATTAGGATAATTAACCTTTTTCTTGTAAATCATCAATTTCTTATTATAAATTCTTATAAAAATTACAAGAATCATCAAAGAGTGAACAATATTATTCTAATAATAAAAATTTTTTTAAAAAAGATTATACATTTGAATTACTATCATATTAATTCTCTTAAATAATATCAGTAATACTGTATTATTCACATTAATCTTAATTTTGTATTCTCATTAAATTATGTTTAGTCAATAAATTATATTTCATAAGATTTTCCAAATGATTTTTTTAATTTTAATAAAATATTAAATCAACTTAATCTTATTCTTATTATTCTAATTTTAATTTATAATTCTTATCTTTTTAACTCAAGAAATCTACAATTTTTAGTATTTCTTATTCATCCAATTCATATATATCTTCAACAACATTTGAATTATTATTTTACGTATTTTAATTCATATTTCTTTAACGTTCTAATTATTAGATAATATCTGTTAATGTTTAATTATAGATTTCTTTTAATTATTGAATAGATTTGATAGAAGAATTAAATTTAGAATATCTATTATTATTGTATTTAGAAATCATTTATTTTTATTATCCTTATAATTCTTTCCATTTTGTATTTGCATCTTCTACTGTGATATATTCTCTTTTTGGAAATTATTAAATACACTTCTCACAAGCTAATCCACTTTAATCTTATTCATTTTAACTTAAATTAATCATCATAATTTTTTTACCATGTTGATTACATACATATTTTAATGTTGGTGTTTCCTAATAATAATATTATAATGAGATTTATTACATGTTTATCAAATCTTCTCTTAGGTGTATTTTATCCAATCTAAAATTTAGATTTTATTTATTAAATTGATTCAAATATCTGAGAAAATTATTTTATATTTGAAATCATACTAAGTTCACTTTATACTTTATCTAACATTTATACAAATTCTTCTAAATTTTATTCTTATTTTATAGATTCACAATTAGAATTTCCTTTATAAATTAATGATAATGTTTCAATATCTTTATCTAAATTCAATTCATCAAAACTACTTTTCTTTTATTCTATATGTTATTCATTTGAATTGATATTTTCATTAATTTTATATTATAATTTATCAAATACTTGTGTAAAGTGTTCATTGATCTTTAATACAGAACTTTGAAGATTCTATATACTATTCAATGTTTCTTGATTTTTTTTCTCTACTTCATCTTTATATTAATTTTTCATCTCTTTAATCATCTCAATGGCTTCACTTAATAAAACAATATTATTTCCTTAAATCCTTTCAATTAAACACTTAACACATAAATATTTTTATTTTTATTCTCTTGCTGCTTATAAATCAACAGCAAGTATCTCAAATTGATGAGTTTAACAAATCTTGTTTACATTCTCAATAATTGACATTTTTCTAGAACAATTAAATTAAATATTCTTAATTCCCTTAATATCAAAATATTAAGAAAAATAATAGAATTAAGTCAAATATAATTTAATTATTTGATTTATTTAAAAAGATGAGAATAAAGATTGAAAAGATATAATATTTCAATTGATTATAGGATTATTTGATCTTTATTAATTATTATTTTATATTTATATATTTAATTATATAAATAACAGTTTTTTATATTAAATAAGCTATGAAACAGTTTAGATTTTGATAAATTATAAATAATTTAATTAGTATTTTATTGTTCTATTAATTTAGATTTTTCTCATATTATAATTGCATAATATATTAGAAATATTATTAATATTATGTTAAATGATCATATATTTTTTGATTTGATGATTTAATTAAATTGTTAATTGTTTATATATTAATTAAATATTATCCAAATAAATTATTTAGAAAATAAAATAGATAAAAGACATTCTTTCATTATGAAATATAGATTTTATATTTAAAACTTTAATAGTTATTGAGGTTATGATTTAATAAACATAAAGTGAAATGTATTCTATAAATAAGATATAAAAGAGATATAAATAAAAGAACTTAAAAGTTTGAATGAATTAAAACAGTCTACAAATATAATATTATGTCAGTAAATTAATAGTTAAACAATTTATAAATGATTTGGAGAATGAATATTTTGGAAAAATTGGAAAGAAAATTGAAATAAATAATAGAGGGTGATTCTAAATGTGGTTTTGATTAATATTTTAATATATCATTGAAAAAAGAAAATAATAACATTTGGATATGCAATAAAAATTTTGAGTAGATTTATTATGTGAATTTATAAGAAAATGTAAATACTCAAAACAGATTAGCTTGTAAGAAATGTATAAAATCAAATCAGGAATTTAAGAAATTAGAGGAATTATAATTATTATGGGAATAAAATTTTTAATAAACTTTAGGGATGTTTAATCATCATTAAAGTATATTAATTATTTATTGGAATAAAATATTAGAATAAGTTCAAAGATTCAATAAAACTATTTATACATCATCAAATTTGAAAAATGATGTACCAAAATAATATTATTAATTAATGTTAAAAGATTGACCATCATTATCAAAAGAAGAATTATCAATTCAAATTATTTTTAGATCATTTAGATCTTTCAAAAGAAACTAAGAAAATAGATTCCAATAAAAATATCAATATTAATCAATATTGTTAATAAAAAATATAATTGATTTAACAAATTGAACCTGTTAAATTTAAATTTGAATTAATTAATCGTATAAAACAAGATAGATGTTTTTCCTTTACTTTTTCTATAGATTCTTCAGTTATGGTAGTTGGATAAAATAGTATGATCAAGGTATTTGAATTTAAGGATGGAAATCTAAAAGAAACATTATAATTAACTGAACATAAGGATTATGTGAGATGTCTATATTTTATGAAGAAGACACTATAATTTGTATCTGGTTGCAATGATAATTTTATCATGATTTGGTCATGGGTTAATAAATACGTTGATATTGTGAATAAAAGTTAGAAGGACATACAGATTATATTAGAGGAGGGTTAATAATGAATAATAAAGAAGATTTAATTATATCAGGCAGTTATGATAGCACATTTAGGTTTTGGACTAAAAAAATAATAATTAATTGAGTCTTTATTAAACATTAAATAATTATACAAAAGAAGTAAAGAGTATAAGTCTTAATGATTCATAGAATTAATTAATTTCATGTTCTTTATCGAATGAAGTTCTTGTTACTGAATTTAAAAATAATCAAAAATTGTGGATTAAAATATAAACAATATAACTAGATAGGAATGGATATAATTTATGTTATATTAGTGATACACTTTTTACATTTTAACCTAATGAATTGGAAATCATGTATATCTATGAATTTGATCATCATAAAGAATAATTTATTAAAACTAAATAAGTAAAAATTAAGTCTGGTGATAATAGATGTGATTTCTTTCCTTAATAAAGAGAAATAAATACTTTTACATAAAAATGGAAGAACTATAAATATTATAAAAACTATTGATAATCGTGAATTTATTCCTGTTTAATATATAGAAAAATAGTGATAATTATTTGTATGGTGCATTAACTTATGATGCTTAATATTTAGTAACATGGGACAATTAAGAGAAAGAAATCAAAATAAGAAAGTATAAAGAATGAATATTAAGTTGTTGTCTTTCTTTTAAATTTAAACATATAAGATATTATAATTAAAATATATATAACTAAGTTTTCTGTTATAATTGATAATAAACAACTTAAAAAATATTTACTTTGTTATAATTACAATCTGAATATCACAATCTATTTGATATACTAAAATATTCTGAATAACGTAATAAATATATTGATAAATTTATTTAATGTTTATAGAAAAAGAATTCGAATACTGAGATGTGAAAATTATTAAATAATATATGATTGATTATATTTTGATTTTAAAATAGGTAAATTGTGTAGGAAATTTACTTTCTATTTTAATTTCATAAATTTAAAAGGATAAATATTTAGGTTATGTACTTAAAATTAGTTAATAATCTATAATCTAAATCTTTTCTTATTAAATGATTAAAATTTGTTCAAGAAATAAGTTTAATATTTGATATTAATTATTTATACTTGATAAATCAAAAGTAATTAAATTTTAATCATATTTTTTAAAATAATTAAAGCATTTTTATTAAATTTAATATATTTTTTAGAAATTAAATTAAATTCATTACTATTAAAATTAATAACATAATGTGTAATCACATTATTTCTGTACTTTATATTCTTTTTATTAAAATCAAATGCTAATTAACAGATATATTATATATCTAAAATAATATTATCTTTTATTATTATAATATAATATTCTAAACTAACTTAGTTTATTATAATTAAGTTGAATTTCTTATAATATTATTAGAATATAATTTTTGGTCTAAAATGGTAATTTTGTAAAATTCTTTTTTAAAAAAGTATAAAGAAATAATTAAAAGATTAAAATTGATGATATGTGGAATGATGTAATGAATAATATTAAATAAATTATTGATTTTATATTCAGAATGTAACATTAAAATTAATAAGATATTTTCAATATGCAAATAAATAAAATGATCAAAATTCATTTAATCCTTTGTTGCTTAATAATCCTCTCCTATTAATGCTCAAATTTAAAGGATAATACTCTTTTCATAACATCTATTCCTAGTGAGATTATGAGGATTCCTTTGTCATAATTATTTATTTCTAGCAATTATGATTAAATCACTTTTTAACCTGTAGTTCCTTATTTTACAATTGCAGCTCCATTATAAGAAGTAGAGAAGGTTATTATACACGGGCTAAAAGGGTAGACTATATCTATTAAAATGTTAAAATCCATAATCAGTAGTGAACCATAACATAAGATGGCAATTCTAATATATGATGATGGACTTTATTATTCTGAATATGACTTAAACTATTACTCTACTACTCCTAAATTAGAAGCTGTACATCCAAGTACAAGAAGAGCAAATTCAAAATGCTATGATATTGCTTTGTTGAATACTATAGTTGTGACAGAATGCTCTGATAATGATGGAGATTACTTAAGTATTTTAAAAATTGAGTAATCACTTCCTACCTATATACCAATAGAGAAGCCACTAGATACTTTCAGAAAATTAGATATGATTGATTAATACCTTTTAAGAGGAACAATCGATAAATTGGAACTATATTAAGAAGTAAATGAAACATTAGTATTCTTAAATAATTTAGACCAAGCTGCAATGAGAATATTATTGAATAAAGAATCATTTGAATTAAAAATAAAAGACTTTCAAACACATACAAATGGATAGATTAGTATATTGAATGAATCTGGAGAATTAATTATTTTATAGTATAAAGATGATTAATGGTAATTAATTTATGACATTGACACTTAGATATCAGATGTTTATTCATATGATTATAATGTCTATAAGAATACTTATATTATCCTTTCAAAAACATAATTATATTATAAAGCAATCACCTAATAAATATTTACTGTAAATATTAATTCAAAACCTTCAGATAAGGTGTATTTACTAAGAAGTTCAATCCTTTTATTACAGAATAAGACTCTATCCTTATACTCATAACAATTATATAAACTATATTCGAAAACTTTAAGTGATTCCAAATATACAATCAATTCAAATCCAAATTCTGATGGATTTTTAGTTATTGATGATGAATATTTTTATAGATATGCTACAAATAATGATTATTTATTACAATTTTCAGCAGATACCTTACCTGTGAATAAAGATTATAGATTGACTAAAATTTAGTAGAATAATAATTGTTAAGTTGAAATTTATTATACTGCTGTTGATATTGAATGGAAATACATTTACTAATCATAAATTCCTTAAGCCTTTATTGCTACTAGTGTGTTTTAGGATAATGTAGATGTAAAATTGAACCCCATATTTTAAGGATCTAACTTAAAGTATGAATTTCAATTTAATGATATACTAAATATCAAAGTTGAATAATTCAAAGGAATTGAAATATTAAATATAGGTGATATATAGGATGTTATATATAGGAAATCATTATCAAATTTATATAATCCATATATCTAAATTATTTAATAACATAGTGATCAATAAATAAGTGGATTCTCTTGTGAGGTTATATCAAATCTGTAATTAAATTGTTAATCCATTTTTGCTAAAAGATAATTCGATTAATTGTAAGACTCTGATAAATAACTTTGGTGGTTTAATTAAGATTCTATATTCTTAGCAATATTATAAGAATAAATTATGACCATTTATTGTGTTTACTATAAGGAGAATTAATTTGATTTATTGACAATTGTTAATTTAGGTGGCAATGCCAAATAAATAGCAACTGATGGCATTCACTTATATGTTTCAATGGAATAATCAATTTTAGTATATAAAGTATCTGTTGAAAACAAAGCAATATTGATTTCTTATTAAAATATGATTGGAGATATATATGCATCTCCAGTTTAAAAGAATATTTTATTTGTAGAATTTGATGGAGAATTGAAAATCATCTCATTTGAATATGAAAAGATGAATGTAATATGGTACACATAAGTTAACACAAATTATGATTAAAAGAATTTAATAATATTTAGAAATCATTTTACAAGAATTATCAAAACAAAAGATTAAGAAGAATATATAGCATCAGTATATTATTATAAGAATTTAAATAATATCTATATGGAGAAAACAATTAAAATAAGTAATTATTCTGCATTAAAATTATCATAAATATAAGTTAATATTTAATAAAACTTATTTTATATTGTTGGTTAATAAAATGAATAATACAAACTTCTTATATATAAAGTTGATGAGACAATTATAAATTCTATGTTTTTAAGTATATAATATACATCAACAGCTTAATTTTCAATTGCCAATCAATTTTGTTTTATTACTGATTAAAGTGCAAATAAATAAGTATAATAAAATTACTATATTTCAGGAGATAATATTGTTTAATCAAATATGAAAGAGAATTATTAATAAATTTAATACTCTAAAAATATCACTTTACCTGTTTAAATTAAGAGTGATACATAAATTATTTCAACCTAATTAGTTCCAGCACTTATTGTGAATAGAGGTGTATCAATCTTTTAAACAAAGAATTAATTTAATTTAACTTATAAAGCAGATGGTACTCAAAAACATTGTTTAGATATTGGTTAATAGTGGTATAGTGGTTAAGTATTTAATATAACTTAGAATGAAGGATAAGATAAAATTACATTTGTTTAAACATTATCAAAATAAGTTGAAACATTGGAATTTAGTCCTTATATTTAATAGTTGAATTCTGAAACTTTAGTTTAATTGATTGATAATACAATTATATTAGTAAAGAAGTCTGATTTTACTTAGACTTAATTTTTGTTGGATGAAAATTATAAAATAAATTAATTGTTATGTATTCAAAATCAATATATATATGTTGAAACATAAAAAGGAGCATAAATTTACTTAAAAGTTATAGAATGTAAGGATTCTAATTGTAAATTATTAGAAGATGAATTATCATTTCCAACTAGTATTATTAAGGTTTATTTACATAAAAATAATTTCATCATTTATTCAAAACCTATTATATATGTATTTGACACAAAAGGTGATCCAATTAAATTATCAGACTTTGAATAATTCAATAAATTTACTATATTTTCATAACCATTTTTTGTTGAATTCTAACATTTACATGATGATATATATTAAGCTATATCTGTTGATGTGAGAGGGAATGTATATTTTAATAATATAGAGTTTTCTAGAACATCTAGTGATAATTAAATATTCACATAAGATGTTGTTAGTTTATTAAAGTCAAATTAATTATATGTTAATGGAAATTCAGTATGTGTTGGAATGCTTTTAAGAAATGATGAAATAATTATCAATTACAATAATATAGCTACTTATTCATTTAAATTTGAATTTAATTGTACTAATAAGAAATTATGTGATCTCAAATATTTTATATTGAATGGTGTTTATCAATAATATGGAGGATGGATAATGTTTAATATATATCCTATTATATATTCAAATGAGAATATCCTATCTATGGTATATTGGGCATAAACTCATTATGAATTACTCTTATTTGATCTTGAAAGTACAAGTACTAAAGAATAACCTAAATCAGCTATTGCTCATTTGATAGCTCCAATTAGTGAAGAGGATCCAGGTGAAATGTATTAAATTTAATCATTTGTTTATAATTACAATGGATAATTACACTTATTGGCATCTGCAAATGACCCAACTAAATTACAACATTATACATTGAAGAGATCTCCATAGGTTTGTACTTCTACATAATAGACTAATGAAATTATCAAATTAAGTTTAAGTAATACAATATCAAATGTTAATTGCACTTTGAATATCACTATTTTAGAAGTTAATCCAAAACCACCTTAACCTCCAGATGATGATGATAAAAAGACTTTTCCAATGTGGGCCATAATCTTAATTGTGTTAGGTGTATTAATTATAGGTTTTGTTATATTTATTTCTTGTAAAAAGAAGAGCAAGAATTAGGTTGATGATGAAAAACTGTTATTGACTCCATGATTTTTTTACATAATTTAAATAATTGATATAAATAATATATAATTGATATTTACTTTTTGAATAACATGTATAAATGATGAACCATCATTAATATAAGATAAAATAGTTATTTTTATATAGAAAATATAAATTATTTATAATTTTACAGGTCCATTTAAAATAAATGTATATTATTGTAAAGTTATTAATTAATTTAAAAGAAATATGATTGATACTCATTTACGATGTTTATTTGATGGTCATGAATATAGTCCAATCTTGGGATGTTGTAGGTGTTTAACTTGTAAAAATTTAAAACCTTATTGTTAATATTGTGTAATAGATTTTCATGCTGAACATTTAAAACAATTATAACCATGGTCTAAGATTTCTGAATGGGTTTAATAAAAGATTGTCTCTTATAAGAATATTACTAAATAAATGAGAGAAATAAAAATATTATCATAAAATCTAGATGATTTGATATATCCCTTATATATAAATTAAGATATCAATTTAACATATGTTAATTTAACTAATTTGAATTTATTAATAATGAAATTAATGAAAATAGATATGATTGAATTGTAAATATTACCAAAATTAAATGAATTAATGCCATCAATAGAACTATTGATTAAATAAATTAAAACCTTTGATTCTATAATACTTTAAGATAATCATTTATAAACTTTTATTGCTTTATTTGAGTAATAAGAAATTAAAAAAGCATAAGAAAGTATACCATAAGAAATAAATTCTAATAATAAAACATAATAAAAATTAGAATTCAGAAATACAATTGAAAAATTGAAAATACATTTTACTAAACAAACTATAATTAAAAATAAAAAAATTAAAGTAGAGAATAATGGAAAAACTATTAAAAGTGGACCTGATTGTTCTGGTTTAATAATATGTGAACCTGAAATTCCAACTGATATAATATCTAAGTTTGCATTTTAAATCTAAAAACATAAATGGGTTTGTATTGGAGTTTGTCATAAATCTATTATTTAGAAATAAAAAAATGATTTAAATCTTACCAAAATAGGACATGGGTAAATATCAATTATTATTATAAAATAGAACTTATATGATAGAGAATTCTGGTTCTACATATTCTCATCTTGACAAGGAGGTCAATAATACTGAACATACATTTAGATTTTCAAATAATGATATCATTCTTATTGAAATATATATGAATGATAGGAAAATTATATGGAAAAAATACTAATCAAATCAAATATTATGGGTAAATAATTATTTTGATCATAGAAAATGAACTTAGATACTACTTTAGATTTGTATCCATGTGTTCATATATTTAATTCAAAAGTAGCAATCATAGATGAATACTGATTTTTTATTTTAAATCATTTATATATATGATTATTATATAAAACCCATTTGTATATATATATATGAATCTTAATCATTATTATAGTTCAAATATTTCACATTCTACTATTTAAGGTTATTGGCTTCCAAAAAATAAATTTGGATTAAAATTTTATTATTCAACATTATATGTCTATCCCAATTTACATTGACCTTATTAAAAATTTGGACCAATTTAAATATCAAAACCACTTCCAAATGTAGGACCATAACCAATTGAACAATAAATAGCATACTTTTTCCTCTATTCCTTAAGTGGATAAAGATATATCTATTAATCTTTATAAGAGAAAATAAATGATGAACATGTAATATCTTCAACATAAGCATTTATATTTGATTCCCATTTACATGGTGAATAAGATCCAAATACTACATCTTTTTTGGTTTTAAATATCATCAATAAATTTGATTTGCAATTAATTTTATTCCAAAATGAATTTTAATTAAAACCATCCTTTGTACCCTAAAATATTAATTTAGCTTAATTGATAATCATCTTTGGATTTTTATCTGTAATTATTTTAATCAAATCTTAGAAATTTTCTTCTGATACAACAGTTGATTTGGCTCCTTCTAAGAATCCTAACATATAAGTTCTTTTAATTTTAGAAAATAAATTCTAGTATTATAGTAAGCATTAATCTATTTATATTTTTAAATTGTCTATTTGATAATTATTCTTTAATTATTCTTACAACTTATTTTTATATTAAGATAATATTTCATCTAAATAACCATTCAATCCATTAGTATCACCTTAATTAATTTCATTTAAATGTTATGATAATTTCAATTCTATCTATTTATAAATATCTATTTGACCATCTTATTATGAATTACCTAATTCTTCCAACAATTTTACAAATTGAGGATATTTAATTTTCTAATTATATATTATATATGAATACTTGAATCAAATCATTTTTTATATTTATTCTCGTTTCAATTATTAAATCAACTTACATTTTTGCTCTTGCTATAACTTAATCAATCAAAATTTAAAGTTGTCTTAAAGATGATTCAAAATTTTCAAGTTCTTATTTCAATTCATCTCCTGTTAAATTTCCTAGATTTTAGAACAAGTTACTAAACTTATCCTAAGATGTTAATTTTTGAATTAAAGAATCTGGAGAACTTAATGCCTAAAATTAAAGAATGTGAATACTTTCTAAATTGATATGATCTATCCAAAATCAACCTTATTTGTATTATCTTATAATTAATATATGCATTCACCACAAGCTAATTTAGCTTAACCTTAATTTAAGATAATAAATTAATGTGCAAATCCTTAATGAGATTAACAATATGTTTATTATTTCATATCTAAATTATAAATATTATTTATATTAAATTATTCATTCATTAGAAATTATATTTCTAATTGATTCATCTGAATAAATATAATAATCATTTTAATTGTTAAGGAATCAAAATAACCCTTTAAATTGTTATCTTAAATAGAAATTTTAATTTTATATTTGTATTATGTTTCATCTTAATATAAGATCTAATTAATTCATAATTTAATTTCATAAATTCCTTTTTATTATTATATCTATTATAATATTTAAATTGAATCTTAATATATACATATAATGTTTTCAATCATCATTCAATAACTTTTTTTGAATATTCTACGGTTATTGAAAGATACTATTGTTTATTTATATACATCATGATTATCAATGATAGATAGATTAATAGGGATATTTACTTATTAATTAAAAGATATGATTATATAGAGAATAATCTTATCATTAAGACATGAAAAAAATTAGTATCCACTAATTTTAACAAATCCATTTGTATATTTTTTATAATATTCATTTGAGACTAGATCATCAATATCTAAGTGCGATTAATATTAATTATTATACTTTATCATTTATATTATGATTAACATAATTACATCAATGGAATAAATTGATTAATATTAGATTTAATTTTTCAATATGAATCTATTTATTTACTTCTATTCCCTTAATGTATAAAGTAAAATCCATTTCATAATATGAAGTTCTATTATATATCTTAAGTAAAGTTAAGAAATTCATCTAACCGAAAGGTAGAAATTTATAATTATATCAATTTCCTTTTAATTATATTACTGTCACAATAAATTGAAGTAACAAAAGCTTTATGTCTCTAAACTCTTATGATTAAATAATACTCTAGTACTTAACATTTCAGGAACTTTGGTGAAATCAATTGAATAGAGTTCTTTTATTCAATTTTTACCAAATTTCAGAAACTTGATCAAATAAAATATTTTCAATATGAAATTTGGTGAAATAAAGAATAATAATGAAGCCTATTCTTAACTTTACTTATATTCTTTATATTTCTATTTTGCTATATTCTTCTTTTACTAATAATTAGTATTTTGATTCAGATATAAATATACCTGATATACATTGAATTAATTATTATTTTGTTTCATTAATTAGAATACTCCCTAGCACACCAATCCTGTTAATTTTTTAATACCTAAATTGATACTCTTAATAAAATCAAATTTTAATTTTAGTTCCAATTGCATTGATATAAAATCAATTAATCTTTCTAAAAAGTGGTTTAGGCTATTTTAAAGTCTAAAAAATTATGTAATTCAAATACTAATCATACTCCTATATTTGGATAATAGTATAATCAATTAATGATATATTAATACAAGAATATTCATATACTTCTTTTATTTTAATAATATATATTAATTATATAAATTTCTTATTAAGTAACTTAAATATGGCCTAGATTTCATTTATTCTTTAAGTGATTGTTTTCTTCAAATTAAATACAATAATCTATAGAATATATAGAATTAAACCTTCATATTGATTATTTGGATATTTTCAAATCATTTTAAAAATTCTTAATTATAAAATGCTTATGAAATTTAAAATGTACTTTATTTTTAATTTTAAGTGGATTTTTATAATAAATAATTACATTAATCATCTTATTATTAAATCCACACTTCATTTAATTAGGAACAAAATAAAATTATGTTTAAAATCATTATTTTATTAATTAATTCAAAAAATATTTCTAATATCTACAAATATATTTTTCTAAATCATGCGTAATACGATTTAAAACCTTCTAGCAATAAGCTAAAAATTAAAATAAATTTAAATCTAAAATTTAATGAAAAAAGATTCTTCCACCAAAAGACCATATGAAAAAGTCTCAAAAATAAAAAGACAGAACCTTGTTAAGCTAGTGTTCCATCAAGGAATCAAAATAAAACATGTATTATTTAATTCTAAAAATAGGCTGCTAAACAACTCAAAATAAATTATGCCGCTGCTAAGACTGTTATTAGTCAGCATAGATGCAATGTTATTTTACAGAATATACAATATAAGTCCAACCAAAGATGTGGATTTTAGAAAATAAATAATACTAACAGATCATTCAACTTAATATCCAAATTAGCTGGAGAAATTGTAAAAGCTACTAACCATACGATATCTGAGTCTAAGAATATTTGAGATTAACAAATTATATTTCAAAACTTCTTTTTTGACTATTGATTTCGATCGTCTTGTAAACAATATTTTTTAACATTAATTTATAAATAATAAGAATAATGTTCTCGAATTAATAAGTATCTTTTTAATTGCTATGTGAATAACAATGCAATAAAAAGACTTAATATGTTCAACAGAAATCATATTATTTCTTAACCTCCTTAATCTACAGATTAAAATATTTGAAATTATTACTTTCAAATTAACATTAATATAACATCATATTTAGTGTTTAAACTTCTTCTTTTAGAGTAATCTAAAATTCATCTTAAAATATTATTAATAAGAAAAAACAAGAATTGAAAAGAGCATTCTATTTTAAAGTAATAAATTAATAATATAAATTATTGTAAAAACCTAAAATATTTTATACTTAAGAAATACAATGAATATTTATCAATTTTATGAATTGGTGAGTATTTTATGAATGAATGAAGATTTCCAAATTTTTACTCAATCACATTTAGATAATAATAATTGATTAAGTCTGTTGTTGATTTGTAAAATATATAAAATATTTAATTTTTTAATTCTGATTCTAATTATAAAATTAAACAATTTTGAGAAATTTATTCAATTCTAAAAAAAATATTAATAGATTGCCATTCTATATAAATAATATACTATGATAATATATTAAAATTTCATATATTACTAATTTAAGATTTCTCTATTATGATATCTAACTTATAAGATCGATAAAGATATCCTTGAAATTTGTAAATTAATAATAATATTCATAATTATCAAATAGAATTCTTTATTAATAAAAAATAAATAGTAAAGAAGTTAATAGAAATTGATAAATACAAAAAAATAAAATAAATTAATATAAATGGGTCCCTATCTTACAACACCAAACACTGAAAAAGAAACATATAAAGGAGAAAATGATAAATTCATCTTTGCAGCTACCCATATGCAAGGTAATCTCATTGCCTATTTAGATAAGGTTGGAGAAACTCTATGGAGGATGCTCACATTTCAAAATTGGATATCGAGCCAGGAGTTTCTTTATTTGCTGTATTTGATGGTCATGGAGGTAAAGAAGTAGCCATTTTTGCTGAAAAACATTTTCAAGAAGAATTATTGAAAAATTAGAATTACAAAAACAAAAACTATAAGCAAGCATTAATTGATACATTCATGTAAATTGATGAATTATTGCTTCGACCAGAAGGCTAAGAAGAATTGATAAAAATCAAAGGGAATAATGATGGTATCATTTTTTAAATCAATTTTAATAGAATTATAAGCAGGAGCAACAGCAAATGTTGCTTTAATAGTTGATAAAACTATCTATTTAGCTAATGCTGGAGATTCAAGAGCCATGCTTTGTAGAAACTTAGCTCCTTTAGATTTGAGCAAAGACCATAAACCAGATGATGAAAAAGAAAAAAAAAGAATTGAGGCAGCTGATGGTTTTGTGTAGAATGGAAGAACAAATGGTAAAAATTTAAGATAAGAAAAGGAAATTTATCTTTGAGTAGAGCCATTGGTGATTTAGAATATAAAAAGGATGAAAGATTTAGAAAAAATGAATAAATAATTATAGCAGAACCAGATGTTAAAATAGAAGAAATTCAGGCAAGTGATAAGTAATCATTGTATTACTATTTTTATAGATTTTTATTAATGGGATGTGATGGAGTCTTTGAAATTTGGAATCATCAATAAATAATAGATTATGTTAATTCAAAACTTAAGTAAGTAGTGACGTAAGAAGATATTTAAATTGCAGCAGAAGGATTACTTGATTCTGTTATAGCAAAGGATACTTCAAGTATTAATAATAATTATTATCAAAGATGGCACTGGATGCGATAATATGACATGCATCATAGTATATTTTAAACGATGAAGATATATAATAAGATGCTATTAAATATCCTTATATTTTATTCTATTTTTTTTGATACTCAATTTTATTATGTTGTTCTAGGAGCTCCTCTAACTTTTTATGTTTATGTTGCAGGTCTTTCATTGTTTGTTTCATTCTATGGATTATTGTTCTTTCTTCTATCTTCTCTATTATTATCTCTATCACCTCTTCTGTTTCTATAGTTATCTTTATCATCTCTTCTGTCATTTGTTCTGCTGTCTCTATCATCTCTTCTGTTGTCTCTATCCTCTCTTCTGTTTTCTCTGTCATCTCTTCTATTGTCTCTATTATCTCTTCTATCTCTATTGTCTCTATTATCTCTTCTATCTCTATTGTCTCTTCTATCTCTATTATCTCTATTATCTCTGTTGTCTCTTCTATCTCTATAATCTCTGTTATCTCTTCTGTCTCTATTATCTCTATTGTCTCTATTATCTCTATTATCTCTGTTATCTCTTCTGTCTCTGTTATTTCTCTAGCTGTCATTTCTTGGTCTTCTGCTTCCACTTCTTTATCTATCATTTCTTTCTCTAGTTGGTTGGACTTGGTCAGCAGGTAAGGGTTCCTAATATTAAAACAATATATTTACAAGGAATCCTGGCTCTTTTCTATCTTATTCAGTTGGTGTCTTGGTTAATTTGATTTGGAGGGAAGCCAAATTTTTAGTTACTTTGACTTTCACTAATCCTTCTTCCAATGGTTCATATTCTTCATTAATCTGAACAGCCTAGATTTTGTTTATTTAATATATTCCAGCAATTCTTTTTCTAACAACTTCAGCAATGATGACTGCTTTGGAGATAGCATTTTCAATAGCTGTAATAAAGATTGTATCCTGAACAGGAGGTTGATCTTCTCTACGAGTACCTTACAGAAGCCATAAAGCTTTTCTGACTTGATTTGATAATTAAGCTTTTGTAGCTACTCTAATCACGTTAAAATCAGGCTTTTAATCATCAACGACAATCCTCTCATACTTTCTTTTTGTGGCCATATTAAATATTAATACAAATCTTTTTTTTGAGTAGCAAAAAAACTTATGTAATATATATATTATCATTTTTCTATTTTCTTTCCTTTGTACCACATAGAATCAACGACTCTACCATCCTTATAAATATATTTTCCTTTGCCATGACGCTCCCCATTCACCCAATCTCCAAAAAATAATTTACCATTATGGTATTCTACTCTTCCTTCTCCAATTTGTTTGTCTAACTCAAAACTAAACTTACATAATTTTCATTTTACTTCCCAATAAATATGTTTCCATCTGGACTTATTAAAGTTCCTCTTCCATGCTTCATACCATTCTTAAAAGACCCTTCATAACGAGTTCCATCAATATTAATTAATAAACCCTCTCCATCTATTTAATTATTAATAAAAGTTCCTTGATAATAGGATCCATTAGGAAATATCATCTTTCCAAATCCTTATTTCTTCCCCTCCAGATATTAACCTTCATAATAGAGTCCATCAGGCCATTTTTATTTACCATGGCCATTTTATTTATCATTTTTCCAATTACCTTCATAAACAACACCGTCACAGTTCGTAAATATACCATGTCCATTAGCCTTATCATGTTTCCATTCTCCTTCATACACATCACCTTCGCAACTAATATATCTTCCAAAGCCATTACATTCATCATCTTTCCACTCTCCATCATAAATTGACCCTAATAAATCTTAACAATAATTAATTTACCATCTTTCCAAATTAATTTCCCCCATCCTTCCCTCTTCTACTTATACAATTCTCCTATATATATACTCTCTAATCATTCACTTAATATATACTGTCTGACAATGTTAACTAATAAACTTTTTTGGTAGGAGATCTATCACTTCCATTAAAAGATGAATCAGAAATATGACTATTGTAAAATGATCCATTCCTATGTTCGATTTCTGTATTCTTATGCAAAAAATTATCAATTATTTCCTTGTCTGCTTATAGATCTAACCATTTAACTCTTTTCCCTTCATTCCATTCACCATATCTATACTCACCAGAAGGAGCCTAATACAATCCAATTCCATGTTGTTTTCCTTATTTCCATTCTCCAATATATTTCCTACCATCATTCCAAATAAATGTTCCTAATCCTTATTTTTTATCATCCATATAACTATTGTAATTCTTTTTAATTACCCTCCTTCATATGATCTACCATCAGCCCAAATTGTCTTACCTATCCCCCACATCTTATTATAGACCCATTCTCCTACATAGTTTCTACCGTCCATCCAATGATATTAACCATATCCATGTATGTCATCCATTTCAAATTCCCCTTCATAATAGGATCCATCTTAAAAAATCAACTTACCTCTCCCATTCTTTTTCCCTTCATAGTATTCTCCCTCATAAGAGGCTCCATCAATCCATGATTCCTTTCCGTAGATATGTTTTAAACTATTTTTCCAATATCCTAAGTAAGTTGCACCTTATTAATAATGATATTCTCAATAACCATAAATTTCCCCTTCATACCAATATCCACAATAAATATCTCCATTCTAATATATTTTTTTTCCAAATCCATGCTACTTATTATTCTTCCACTGACCTTAAAAAACAGAACCTAATTTTGGTTAAATTCTTTTAATACCATCTTACAATTTAGCAATACCTAAACCATGCTTCATTTCATTTTGTATTTGTCCATCATATTCAATTCCATCTGAAATGATGCGTTAAAAGATTAAATTTGTTTGTATTAGTTATGTTATTTTTTCTAAAGTATAAATTTTCTCCAATTATTGATTAAGTAAATGTTCTAAGTCTTCTTATAGTATGGTTTTTGAACTCTAAACAATTTAATTATTTTCAATAACACAGTCTATTATGTCACCATCAATTTTTATTACTTTTCCAACAATTCTATGATCTTCCCAAATTCCTTCAAAAATAATACCTTCTTTAGATTGGTTAAATTACCATTTGGATATATTTAAATACCTTTGCCATGTCTTTAATTGTTTTACCATTCTCCTTAATATATGGAATCTAGTATATTCAGATATAAAATACACCATCTCCTAAGATTACTTTAGAGTAAATAGAATATTCAGATTCTTATTTAAAGGATTATGCTGATTGTTATTGTTAATAATTTTGAAATTCTTGTCTAGACATTAATGATAAATTAAATTATAACTATCAATTATAAATTCAATTTAATCTGGATGCTAATTCAATTATGTTGTCATTTTATCTGAGTTTTTCCAATTATTTGAAACCTCCTAATTTTTCGAATATTTATTTTGAATTCTCATTCATAAATAAATGAAGTACAGCTTACAAAGCCAAATAGATTGCTTTTGGATCATAGATTTCTCTAAAGAAATCTACTAATAGATTTATTACACCATTATTGATTAAATCTCCATAAAATGTAGGATCACAATTTATAATGTAAGTAGAAACAAAATAGCCTAATTCCAATTTCATTTTAAGATCCGATTTTTCATATTACTCATAAATGTCTTAGAAGAGTACTCTTAATTCATTATGAAATGGTTGATGAGTAGCTAAATTAGAGAATGTGGAATAGACTTTGACCTAATGATTAGAGTTCTTGATTCTAATTAATTCATCTACTATAGGATAATCAAGTAATAACTATAAATTTATATGATAATATATACATCAAGTACTTCATTGGATGAATGAGATGAGAGATAATTGATAAAGTTAATTGAATGATTGGGATGAGTAAACAATTTAAGACAAAGACCTCTATAAAAAGTTAAGAATTATGCACAATATTCATCTGTAATCATATAACTTAATCCATTTACACTCTCAAATCTAATACAATAGAATATAAAATCTAAGATTTTTTGCAAATTCTCATTTCTAAAGTTATTGCAAAAGTTCTTGATAATGGAGGCTGCTAAATTCATAATGATTTCTGAATTCTATCTTTTCAAGCGATGTAGGAATGATTCATTAAAATTTGAATCTAGTAGAATTCGATCACAAGCTTATTCTTCAACTGTCATATTGAATATCAATTCAAAAACTCTATGAACTATGACTTCATATTTTGATTTAATAAGAAAGTTGATTTATTCTAAGAAATAACCATTACCATAATCCAATAGATAATTAACACAATCATCTGCTAAAGTTAAGTTGATTAAAATCCATAGACTGTTGTTTGTTAACTCAACTGTATTTACATCATCTGCATATGTTTGAGAACAGTACTTAATCAATTCAGTTAAAATATTGCCTTATTTAGATAAGATAATTACTTTTAATAGAGTTATAGAAATCATTTATGTGTTCTTGTATCTTCATTGTAGCCACCTTCATACTTAATATTTTAATTTGTGCGAGAACCTAAATGTAATTTATGTCGATGTACTAGGGTATTTCGTTCTGGAAATAACTTGTACTCCTCATATAATTATTCTAGTTTTTTAGCAATATCTGAGATTGTTAATTCTGATTCAAATAATTAGTTTAACTCTTCAATTCAAAATAAATTAATTACTTTCATTAAATGGATTGCTTTCATTATTGTAGTTATTATTTGTAACAATCCTTTTCTTTTTAAAGATTTCTTCTCTAGCTAATTTTTGAATTGAATTTCTAAAATACTCCCTCTTTAATTTAAGCATTAATTAATATAATGAATATTTCATTTAATGATTTGAAATTTGTACATTAAATAGGTTAAACACTTAATCTTGAAGAGAGGTATTCATTTTATTATAAAAAAAAACAGAATGAGATTGTAATTAGCAATACTCAAAATACAAGAACATTATATTTTTGATGAAGTCTTATTTTGGGGTAGAGTTGAGGGAGTAGAGAAAGATTATTACATAGCACTTGGAATTCAATATAAAGGATAGTATGAATTTCCATTAAAGAAATTCTTTTGGAGGTATATAACATCTATTTATGAATAAAGTTCCAATAATTATCATTTTGCTGAATTACCAAAATATAATGAAGAATTTGCCTAAAGAGCTGAAACTTTAAGAGAGCCCTTTACAGGATAACATGAACATATAGTATTTAGAACAGATGAAGAAATTAATTTTGAAGACTCATTAGAAATTCCTGCGTAACTGCCAGCTAAAAATTTCTCAGAATTAGAGAGATTATCATATATAGTTTAATCTATTGAGTTTTAATGTGCCTCAATTCCAGTGGGATCATATAGATTAACACCAACTCATGAATTAATTAAGACAACATTTAAGGGTGTCACTGCAGAATTGAAAAATTATTAACATTTCAGATAACCAATAAGAAAAGATAAACAAGATCTTATAGGTTTACAATATATGATATCTTTAATAGCTCGAGATGAAGCATTATATAGACCTGATTTCTTAGATTCTTTAGTTGACGATACACCACATAATTAATGGTCTGTCTAGACTGATTCAACTAAAAGAAATGTATATGACAATTTAAATTGTAGATTACAATTAGAAATTTAATATGGCCAGGATATCTAGGTTACAATAATGATTATACATTTGGATATGCTTATTTTGGAGATGGAATTAAAAATTCAGATTTTGAATTTTTATTATGATTACCAACATATAATATATTTTGTTATGTGTATTATTATTATTATATAGGTCAATGTCCTAAACATTGATTGATTGCTTCTGAAGCATGTAAATTTACTTATTAAGCAACATAATCATAATAGGCTCTTGATCTGTGTGTGTAAAATCCATAGATTTATGAACCTAATATCATAGATCCAACAAATCTAATATATTTATTATTAATACCTTGGTCCTGTTCTTAAGTATGTAAATCTTCTAAACACAAAGTATGATAAAATTGCTGTTCCAAATCCCAATTTAAATCCTGTACTCTCTTCTTATTATAAATCTAAGAAGGCAGTCTTAATATTTTAAACATCATGGATGTCATATTAGAAATCTTTTTCTGCACTCATTATTAATAAATATATATATTAATATATATACTCTAAAATAAATATTTACTTTATAATTTATATGAGTCTTCAAAAACTATATATATAATACTATTATAAATTGTAAATTACATATCATTTTCTATTTTAAGTATGCTAAATGTTAAATTATGAGATTATCCAATCATTTAATATTATGATGATACTATCTTCTCAAATTTCAACAAAGATTTTATCATATTAATAAATATATGATATACAAATATTAATTATAATAATAAATAGATAGAAACATTGTTTCACACTTAATCACAATAATGCTATTATATAAAATATAAGAAATGCTGAGTTTTAAACAGATTTTCGATGAACTTTCTATCCTTAATATTAGATCCTTATACTAAGTAATGTTCAATAAATGGTAAATTTAAACCTTGTTCAATCTATTTTTTATTTTTAACATTATTACTTTAACACCTTACTCATTTTCAGAAGGCAATTTAGAAATGATATAATCATTAATCATTTTCTTAAAAGTTTCAAGAACCATTTTACTTTTACTTTGATCATTGTCATCAAAGTAAAATTTAATCACTTTCTTATCATCAAATTTATTTGAGGCTTGTCTTATACTTGGACTAATTTATAAATATAACGCCATTCTTACCTTGGATTACGTATATTATTCTAAGTTTTAAGGATTTTCTCTATTTACATTAATAGTCCACCAAAATAAGGAGTGGATATCTATTATAAAACATTTTTTGGTTTGGATAAAAACTTAGTTTCTTTATCACGATCCAAAAATATAAATAAATGATTTTCACAATTATCAGAAAGACTCATCAAATTGAAATCATTTTCTGTAAGATTGACTCCAATTATAATTGGAACTGGTGATTAAATCATAGTCAATAATTATTCAGGTAAATTATAAATGATTCCTTGGGTCCATTCTAATGGACGGACTAAGTGATGAAAAAAATGACTAATTAGTTAATAAATTGTAATACATGACAGATGTTAAGATATTGCTTTTTTCACAAATAAAAATAATAGAGATTTCAGAAATCATAGCTAAGAATATTTATATGATTTCATTGGAATTTAAAATTTATAAAGTTACATTGGCACTCCATATTCTCAATTCAATATCCAATTGCAATTGATTAGGAATTCTATACTTTAGTGTACCTGCCAATGTTTGAACTTCTAATTATTGATGTCCCAACATTGGTTTAATAGTTTATATCAAATTTAAAAATTTAGTCAATTCATCTTAAAATTCCTAAATTTATTATTAAAATATATTATACAAGTATTATCTATTAACCATCAACTTCTCTCAAAACTTCATATTCTTCAGAATATTTCTTTAAGTATCTATCAGTTCTATTGATTTTAATTAAATCTAAAAATAATGTGAATAATTTATATTACTAATAATTGAAATAAGTAGATCTTAGAATAATTCATAAAAAGGAAAATAAGTAAGAAAGCAATAAGTTTTCTTGTATTTCCAGAAAATTCTTTTTTTTCTATTTTCAAATGTTAATTAAATGTGATCAGGAGTAGTTTCAATAAAATCATAGACAGATAAACAAATTCCATAAAGCAATTTTTCAGGATTAACTTGATTCATTAAATTCTGATTGATATGTTCTGAAAAATCTTCAGTGGTATCTTGATTTTTAATAGTAAATAGGGAAAATTTGTCCAATAATTCGTATTTATTACCTGAATACATGATTCTGAAATAATGAATTTTAGATACTCTTTTAATTTTCTAAATGAATCATTGACCTTGATTTTTTCAACTTGATTTCCGAAAGGATAAACAAATCCATTGATAATCTCTTCATAAACAGGACTAATAGAAAGTGGATGATAATTACGTGTTCATTGAATCAATCTTGAACAATATATTAGCAGGTAGAATACCTTCTTTAATATTAGGTTCATTATCAAATTCTAAAAATTCTTTTTTTTCACAACCCATAATATAAAATTTTTCATATAATTTATAGGCAGGTTATTATAAAGCAGAGACTTCCATAGTTTCTACTCTATTTTCTTCAATAGATTCAAAAAATTATTATTATCTTCCATCTGAATTTCTACGTTTTTGTATATCTTATTCTTCTATATTTTCACTATCAATAATAGTAGATTTATTATTCTAAAAATTAAATAGTAAAGATTTTCGTAATGAACTATT